TGGTATCCGTACCACTGGTTGAAAAGCCCTGACCTAGTGCCCCGAACGGAGGAAAGCAATCAGTTGGCCAGAGCAATAGTCTTTTTAACCACTGCCAATGTTCATCCAACAGCCCCCACATATGCTGGCACGAGTTCAAACAAAACAGCCAGGGAAGTTTACATTGTTCTTAAAGCAAGACAGATAACAAGCAAACATATAATCCTTTTAACTCCCAGCTTGCCTGTGAACTGCGAACTGCACACTGCAGACTGCAAGGAGAGATCAGCAGGAAGCAAACTGGTCCAGAATACAAAGTGTCCAGGTTACAAGAGCACACTATCTCAAGATTTCACGTTTGTTCCTGGCAAATGCCCTACCCCACAGCGTCTCCTTAAATCCTACTCCCCAGGTGTGCCTTGTGGAGTGGGGCGGGACGCTCTCCTCCCGAGCAAGTGAGCCTGCCTCCGTTGTTCCCTCCTCCTCTCTGCTCTCCTTGCTCTAGGATCAGGTGGGGAGGGGCCTTGCTCCTCACCTGAACGCTGCCTTCCCTGTTCCAAACCTGAAGGGCCTGGGCCTGCCTCAGCCTGCTCCTCCCCACAGTCCTCCGAAGCCACAGACACTCCCTCCTGGGCCTCAAAAGGGAACTCCATGTCTTCCTCAGGGTCAGGCTCGCAGGGAGGCATGACAGATCAGTAAGAGCAATTGCAACTGTGCTTAGGACCTTATTTCAGGTTTCCTTGGCTTTACAGACCTGCAAAGGTCATAAACGCAAGGATTGGTTATAAAGTTATTTTTTTCATCACTGTCATAACTGTGAAATGGTTGCTAAGTGAGGATTATCTGTGTGCAAAAGAAAATACAATATAGACACCTACAGTAAATGCCCATTGCTGACACAAGGATTGGAAAAAAATTCAGAAGTCTCATTCTGCCTTCTTTCCCTACCTTGAGTTATCCACACTTAAGTTGCTAATAACTGACATAGGAAGTGGGTAATGAGACAGCAAAGTCTAAATTATTTGGGTGAGTAAAACTGAAAATCAAGTGTCAACTAGGGGTCCAAAAAGATGTGTCCAAAATGGATGAACAGATTTTCAGATGGCAAACACAGTTCAATGGCAGCAAGTATGAAGCTGAGCATGCTGAAGCAAACATAAATGCAAGCTTCGTGCACATACCAGTAGAGATTGAGTTGGCAGTGACTAACAAGGGATCTTGAAATTGCATGGATTACTGACCAAAAGTGCTCACTCAGTGTCTGGTAAAGGAGAATTCTGCATCTGAAATCAATTGAAAATGTAATAGATCCACAGACCATAGTAATTATATACCAATTTATCAATATATAAATATATAAAACTGAAGTCGGACACATGTAGAATGCTGTTTTCTTTCCTGCACTTAAAAATAGTGCATCGTAAAACAAAAATATCTTCACTCCTAATCTGTTTGAATATAATTTTTTCAAGCCCCTCAACTCTGGTCAGTTTTCTTTCTCCTGCTCACTGTTTAATGCTATCATAAATTTGAGTATATGCTTGACAGGAAAATCATGTTCTTTATGGAATACTAACGATCAAGCTCTGATCGTAGCAATTCTAGGTAGTATTACCACACATTCTCACTAGATGGCAGTGTTGAACTGTTCCAGTGTTAAATTCTCTGTAAACTCACAGCTCAGATGATCAGGATCACTTGGTTTCTGAGATTTACTAATTAAAGCCAAGAAACTAGTATCTCTGAAGATATCCTTGAAGCGGACGGAGACTTTCCCTTTTGCAGCAAAAGTAAAAGATATTGAGGAGCACAGTAGCACTGAAACTGTGGTTGTTTCAGATTGGGAAACCAATTTCATATATACGTCAATACTTTATGGTAAAGCTATGATAATAGAACCTTGCAAGTTTAATGTTCTTCCACTCACAGGAGGAATTAGGAATTCAAAGGCGTTAATATAAGTCAATATGATACTAATGTATATGATGTGTATCACCAGGCTATTTTGAAAGTGCTTTATTTTTATCCTGCGTTTTATTATTTTTTATAAATAACTCAAGGCAGCAAACGTACCTAATACTTCCTCCTCCTCCTGTTTTCCCCACAATAACCCTAAGAGGCGAGTTGGGCTGAGACCATGACTGGCCCAAAGTCATTCAGCTGGTTTTTCATGCTTAAGGCAGGATTAGATCTGCCTCCTGGTTTCTACCTGGTGCCTTAACTCAGGGCTTTTCAACCTTTTCACCCATTGTACCACTTTTAGAATATGGCAGTATCCGAGTACCACCAGTCCCCTAGCAAGGTGTCAAAAACTTGATGACCCAAAAAATAAAAAGGAAAAAAGCGATAAAGTACAGGTAGTCCTCGACTTATAACAGTTTGCTTAGTGATTGTTCGAAGTTACAATGGCACTGAAAAAAGTACCCCCCCAAGCCACAGCCGAGCAAGACACCTGCCTGCCTGCCCGGCGGCGCTCTTCCTCCTGTCTGAGGTTTCCATTGTTGTGAGAATTTCTGTTGGGGATTGGCAGTGGGGATGGGGTGGGGTGGTGTTTGATTTTTATTTCCCCCATCTGCTGGGTGGTTGCGGCAGGTTTTGGTCACTTCACATGACCCTGGGACACTGTGATCATCATAAATATTAATCAGTTGCCAAACATCTGAATGTAAATCACAAGACCCTGGAGATGCTGCAACATTCCAGCTGATCGGCGCTTCTTCTGGGCTCAGCAGAAGCGCCAGGATCAATGCTGCTTTCCAGCTGATTGGTGCTTCTTCAGGGCTCAGCAGAAGCACCAGGATCAGCGCCGAGCTCCAACTGGAGCCTGGCACTGATCCTGGCACTTCCACTGAGACCTGACAGTCCCGAAGAAGCGCCGATCAGCTGGAAAGCAGCACTGATCCTGGTGCTTCCGCTGAGCCGACAGCTCTGCAGTTCCAGCCATCTCTCGCTCAGGCTTGTGCGGTGCTGCCACTGGTTCAGCTCATTCCCCTCCCCCGCTACACCTTTCTAGGATGGTCGTGTAACACCTGCCAGGTGCCAATGTACCACAGGTGGTACCCATACCACTGGTTGAAAAGCCCTGCTTTAACCCTAGACCAGGGGGGTAGGCAACCTTGGCTTTTATGACTCGTGGACTTCAACTTCCAGAATTCCTGAGCCACCCATGGCTGGCTCAGGAATTCTGGGAGTTGAAGTCCACAAGTCATAAAAGAGCCAAGGTTGCCTACCCCTGCACTAGACCAAACTGTCTCTCATATTGATGTGTGGATGCATACCACATATAATGAAATGTAATTTTAATGTGGATATGAAGATAAATATTTACAATTACCCAGAATGGTGGAATTTAATGTATTTACAGGATGTGTTCAAAACAAGACTAGACATCAATCTGTCAATGATGCTTTAATCTGGATTCTTGCATGGAGTGGGACTTGAGTAGTCCCCTTCCAACTTTATTGAGTTTGAATCTATACACCTCTGTGTTGTGTCTCACTCTTGACTCAGGATTTAACGCCCCATCCTATGCATCTCCAAGACTAATGCTAGTGAGTTCAGTCTGTCGGAGAATCAAGAAACCTTATGTTAAGATTGTAGTTTTTATCATTTTAAGAAATATATTTCCATGTTTTTCACATTGTACTGAACCATAGTTTATTAAATAGGCCACAACAGGCTGATCTTACTCATTGCTAACACATTAAATTATGGTTTCAAACCAATAGCTAAATCTGTATAATACGCTCATCCAGAATCAAGCAAACTGTATTATTGCTTACTATGCTAATTGATCTCATTTTTATAGATGAAGTTTCTTACTCTCTCCTTCGTTTCTATTATTTTTTAGCTTTTTATTTTTAGTTTTACTAACACCGTTTCCAAGTGGCGCTCAAGTAGCCTGGATAACAGTCTCATGTAATATTCTCCCAGTGTGATACAAACATCACACAACTGAAGTAGCTAATGCACTGATGATGTTACTACAAAACGTGTACAGGTAGTCCTCAACTTACAACCGTTTGTTTAGTGACCATTTGCAGCATCCCCGCAGTCATGTAACCTAAATTCAGAGGTTAAGGAAATGGTTCATATGTATGACGTTTGCAGTGTCCCGGGGTCATGTGATCACCTTTTGCGACCTTCTGACAAGCAAAATCAATGGGGAAGCCAAATTCACTTAACAACCATGTTACTATCTTAAGAACTGCAGTGATTCACTTAACAACTGTGGCAAGAAAAGTTGTTAGATGGGACAACATTCACTTAAAACTGTTTCACTTAGCAACAGAAATTTTGGGCTCAATTGTGGGCATAAAGTCGAGGATTACTTGTATTTTAAATACCTGAAAGCAGAATACATTAACACCCCCCTTTAGCTAAATTAAAGCTGTTTTATGAGTGGCTGGTATCCATGGCTAAACATCTTAATTCATATTTCTTATTAAGCCAGATTTTATTCTAATCAGATTTAAACAAGCCAAGGAGGCCTCATTCACACTTAACAGAGCCATAAACTATAGTTTAAATGTATAATTTGTTTGCCAAACATATAAAATTGAAGTTTTGAAAAATATATTATGGTTTAACTCAATGTGTGAACTGCCTTGAATTAATTTTCTGTATTTTATTTTCCCTTTTACTAGCTAACTAATCCATCCCACAACTACAGATGTACTATACATATAAAATATTTGGTATTCTAATATAATATTGTATTATATTTATTTTCTCAGAATAACAAATCTGCAGAAAAGATGAATGCAACCTATTCTTGGATTATAAAAATGTTACTACTTTGGGTCTAGCTGTAATGCTGCTTTGCAGACAAACAGTGTACAAAAAAATGGTGAGTAGCAATAGATGCATGAATACTAACCGAGTCCATGACAGTTTCAATAGTAGCAGCTATTTAGTAAGCAAAACGTAAGGATTCAAAGAAACTAATAATATAACTTGTTATGTCTGTTTTACCCTTTAATTTCTCTATCTTCCTCAAAACTAGAAAAAAATGGATAAACTGCAACCAGAATAAGTATTTATTCAAATTACACATACCAAGAAAGTTATTTCACAGCCTACTACACAGTCATTCCAGATTCACAAAAGACAATAAAAGCACTCCCAAAAAATAATTACTTGATCTTAACACAAGGCATAGCTCTGATTTTTAAGGCATTGTATCTCTACAGAAGTAGTTACTGAATACGCTGCTTATATTACACATGGCTACTGCATACCTTGTTTGATTCTCTTCCTGAGGATTACCTGTTACCTCTACCACTTGATGCTACAAGCATTCTTTGTAGTCTTCTTCTGTTTATCTTTCTCAACAATTATGTATAGATCAACAGAAGAATCAACGTCAAAATATTTTCTTAAGAAAATAAACAAGAATCTACCTTACTGTAAAACTCAGTGGTTCTGTAAAATGGACATTATGAATATTTCTTCTTTGAAGAATTACTCAAATTCAAAGGTAGTTTTTAATTTATTGGACTTTTTAGATAATCAATCTGAAGTCTAATTTTATTTCATCCAAGTCAATAATAGGAAGAACATAAGGCACTTAACACTGAATGTCACTGTTGCATCTTGTTATGTCATAAGGAAAATGTTAAATACAGTGAACAATTGTATTTTTATTGCCCTTTTTTCTTGGGGGGGGGGATGTTCCATGTTTATCTTTTTTTTTCCACTGTTTTTATTTTCTTATCTTTGCACCAATGAATTAGGATACAAAGGATAAATGCAAATTCAATTGATATCAGTAAACTGTCCCAAGAGAAGGCACTATTGTAACAGCAAAGTTCTGTCCAATGCTACCAATGTTTTTGCCCCTGGACACATCAAAAACATCTTTGGTTTTGTTGTGGAATGGCTACATTGACAAGCATGGATATGGAAGAATCCAATTTCAAATGTGATTATTCCATACGATAATTTTCATATGAATACTGTATATATATTATATATAATTACAGTCGTTTGCATATACATAGAACCTTCTTTGATGGGTTGCTTTATTTCAATGGTAAAAGTTTGACATATGCAATATAATGCATAAGTATGTCTGTTTTCAAAGGAGTGGGACAGCCTCTGTGTATGATGGAGCCCCCATGCTTGTTAAATTGATGAGGACAATGGCCATCATAATTTGCTTCTTGGGTCCACACCCTCGCCCAGTGCACTACAGATTAACGAATTAATTTGTCCTAGCAATTAAAATAGTAGAAATAACAGAATCTACCTAACTGGATTAACATTTTTTTTCCAGAGATATCAATAGCTCCTTTTCCATTCTACCAACTTCCCCAACAACAAAACAACAAAACTCCTTTGGACTAGGAAAACATTTTTTTTTTTTTGTAATGTTAAAACATGCTCAATACTCAAACCATTTCATGTATATTTTCCATTTTAACAAACAGCCTATCCAAGTCATTCCTTATGTCATCTAAGGAATCCTTCATTGTCTGCACATTGTTCTCGTTGGTTTCAATTTTCACTGAGTAAGCAACTAAACTATCAACTGCTGTCCTAAGCATTTTTATGTCAGATTCTACCTGACCAAGAGAAGATCTCACTTCATGAACAGAATCTTTAACAGAAGAGAGTTCTGCCTTATTATCTCCAGACTGCCCTACATTCACTGAAGACTTTTCTTGGCCCAGCAAAGCAAGAACTTGTTTCTGGATATGACCAAGAGCATCAGCATTATTTGGTAGATCATTCAGACTTCTCCTTAGTTCATCAACATCACTGTAGATTGAGAGCTGTGCTTCCCCAAGACTCCTCACAGTATCGGTCAATGAGCGTACATCATTTTCTATAGTACTCTGGACAGAACCTAGACCTTCTTCTAATGCAGCTAGCTTAGTGCCATATTTGAAAATGAAAGATTCTGTTCCTTCAGTGTTCTGGGCAAATGATGATGTCAAAGCTTCAACATTCTCTTCTATGGGCCCAAGCCTGGATTCCAATTCTTTATTGCTCTTCTGCAGACTTTCTATGTCATCTTTGGAGAACGCATAGCCTTCTTGAATACCACCGAAAGACTTGATGTGCATCAAATCATCACTGAGTTTCTTCAGCTCCAATGGAAGATGAGAAAGAGATTCTTCTGCTTTAAGAACTTTCTCTTCTAAAGTCTGTAATGAAAGGTGCTCTGTATCAGCTACTTCTTTAAACTTCTCATGTTCCTGTTTGAGATTGACAAGTGCTTTAACTTCAGACAGAACATCAGATTCCATTAAATCTATGGTACTCTGCAAAGTTTCTATAGTCTTCGCTTTGGCTTTCAAGGCCCTCTGCATCTCATCAACTGTGTCTTTCAAGACCTGAAAGTCATGTTTGTATGTTTCTGTTTCACCAAGTGAAGCCATCTTTTTTTTAACTTCATTGATTTCATCTTGGCTCTGTTTCTGGATAAGTGTGAATTCAGCAATATTATCGTTTATAGATCTTGTTAGCTCTGTCAGCCTTTCTTCCACAGTGTTTTCTAGTGATGTGAAGTCTCTTTCTCTGGCATCTTTTACAACATGAATACCATCAGACAAATCTTTAAGAATTTCATTTTGTAATTTCTGGAGAACTTCACTAATGCGACTGATCTCACTCTCCCCTTGCTTAACAATCTTCTCGGTGATGTCTTGTTTTTGCTGAGCATTTTTCAATGCCAATTCAAAGCCAACACAAGCAGAGTGTATAGACTGTATCTAAAAATGAAATTGAAACATATAAATAAAGGTTGGCATAGCAAAATCAATTATGTCCCATATATGAAGATCAGTAACTAAGAGTAGAAGAATCAGACAACATGGTATATCAAAATAAATATGACAATACATATACACTCACACTTATTATATAACATGGTTTAGTGATCTGATTAAAAACTCTAAGAGCTTTCTAGTTGTGACAGTCTAAACATTTATTTGTATTCTTACCAGCCTTGTATTATTTTATATTAACCAGGTTCCATCATCAAAGATTTTGATAGAAATAAAAAGCAATACAAGAATAAAAAATTTGCAGTTTTTAAAACGGAGTCTAAAATGTTCATAACCTGATTTTGTACCAATGGCTAGATTCTGTGCTGCAAATTCACATGGGATTTGCATGCAAGGCACATGTTACAATACAGTGAAAGTATTTCAATGTTAAGATTACCAGATCTGGATGGCAGCAAGGGGACACAGGAAACTAACTTTTGCTGTTTGTCCATATTATTAGATATGGTTCCCCTTTAATTATGCAACTATTGCATTTATAATTTCAAGTAAATTGCTACATGTATATGTACTCAGGATGCTTTTCTGTTGCACAATATAACTATTATGCAAACCACACAATCTTATTTTCCATCAAGTATCTAAAGTAATCTACTGAATTATATATATGTTCTATAGTTAAACACTCTACTCTCCAATACCTGTGTATATAGCAAAGCATAGTTTTTGTTTTTAATTTATCACTGAATTTATATGCAGACTTTCTGTTCATCCAACAACCAAGATGGCTTATACAGTAGTATTGTGGGAAATGTCTTTCCTTTATTATGGAGCAATGGGATATGCTATAGACGTCCATATTTTAACACTTCTGGCTTCTAATCAGACATTAGTTCAATATTATGGCTGATATCAATTATAAACATACTGCTTTGCAAGAGATAAATACAGAAAGTAAATACATTTACTTTAACTTTCACAGCCAATATAAACCCATACTGTACAGAAAATTTGGGCCATTTCTACACTGTACAGTCAAACCTTGTGTGTGTCAGGGGGTGTATACCCCCACACAGACTTCATTTCCTTTAACCATGCAGATTCTAAACACTTTCACAATCTAACCCAAAGGGCAATTTCAACCAGAGGTACAAGCAGGATGGTATGCCTTGGTGCTACTGAAAAACCTCACATTTGCTTTATTTATCTTAAACCAGGATCCAAAGTAAGACTGGTTTCAAGATCTCCCCAGGATCTTATATGTGAGTCCAGGAAAACTTGCATTTATATCCCAGCCCTGATGTAAAGCAGAAGACCAGATTACTTGCAAGATCTCTTGTCACCTGTGATTTTTGCTCATCCAATCTTCTAGGATAGGCATGCTCTGGGTCCCCTCTGTTAAACAGAATCACCTGTATGTCTTCCCTTTTGTGGCTCCTGTCCTATGAAGCAGCCCCCTCCGCCCATGACATATGGATGGGCCTGATTCTGGTAATCTTCCAGAAGGCCTTGAAGAGGCCTGGTTTTCCCTCAAGCACTGAGACCAGGATGTCAGCTTAGCCTGACATTCTTTTGTGCACTATTAGTTGCCCAGAATCACTAAACTGAAAGGGACAGCTTTCTATAAACAAACAAAGGATAAATGGGAAAGTATACAATAGCAAAGATTTATGTTTTGTAACAAATCTGACTGATTCATCTACTGACATGATTTGGAGAAGACTGTCTTAGATGAATTTTAAGACTTATGTGAATTTTGGACTCTTGCCTGCTAAAAAGTAATATAAACTGAATGAATCTTTCCTTGTCCTAGATTCAACTGAAATGAAGAAAGTCTAGAATTAGTAAAAATGTGAGCTTCTCTTGATTTAGTACATATGCCACAAATCTGGACACAGAATTCTTTAACCCTGTCACACAGTACTGCACACAAATTAACCACAGAGCACCTTGCTTCAAATCTAATTCTGCCATAAATTCACTAAACCAGTGAATTTCACAATCTCAGCAGCTTTAATATGGACAGTATGGACTGGCCAGGGAATTCTGGGAGTTGAAGTCCATAGTAGGTTAAGAAACTCTGCACTAAACAGAACTTAGGAGAGTTTTCAAGCCATGGAAGCATCAAATAAAAAAAATTATTGGAACTCCTCATCAATAATGATCAGTGATAGAAAATTGGCTATGTTCAAGTGAACTTTCAAAAAAATTCTCACAGAACCTATAATGGAATCTAAAAACTTTTAAAAAAACAGTCTGAAAAACTCTAGGAATCTTGATTTTCTAATTCTTATAGTTGCAAACAGAACAGATTGGAAGGTAACTACTAGATTCTATGACTACATAAAATACTGCACTCAACTATATGGTGAAGCTGTGGCCTCCTTCATCTCAAAGTTACAATTCCCAGTAGCCTTTGAAGCAATTACTGTACATCCAGATCACTTAAAGATGAAACTTTACTGAACAGAGCAATCTGTGACCACAAACTTCCTCTATAGGTTTGCTGCACAATCTGCAATTTGTTTATAGAAATCCTGGAGACTTGCTGTATTAAAAAAAAGTCAGATGTGTATTTTATTAAAATAAATATCCATATAGTTAAAAGTGAATTCATATTCTAATCCATTTTACACAAAATGGGCCATTCCTGAATTAATGGATTTCAATTCCCTGTAATTCCCAAGGGCACCATTTTGAGAAAAGCGGAATAAGCATTCAATTATCTTATTAATGCATCCTAATCCAAGTGAAAGTACTTATTACAAACACTGCAACGTTAGCTTTTGTAGTCAAGATTCAAGTATGTGCTATATGGCTCACAAAAACTTAGGCCACTTTGCATTAGACGTTCACAAGACTTCTTTGGAGGCAACTCTTGAGGGCAATTCCCAAAGACTAAATACTACTAAACACAATGGAGACTGAGTGTGAGAAAACTTGTGTGTTTTTTTTACTATCCGATTTCCTACTGGAAGCAGGAAAAAACTAGAAAATGCAGCGCCCTCCAAATACGCGAGGTTGTGAAGTCCACTATCTCTCATTCTCGGGCATAGTGGCTGGCGAAGACTAAAAAGACATTCTAAATTTTTAGAAAACAATTAGATGTTATTCCTTAATAGTTGTTTTTCTTTCCCCGAGGACTTCAACGTTATTGCCTGGCTATTCTCTGCAACGCCACGCTGCAAATTGCTCGCGGCACATGGATCCCACGTGCTAAAACGTGGCTTGCAAAAAAAAACCAAAACCGCTCCTTGAAGGAAAGCCTGTTTTTTAAACGGGCAAAAGCCAATTTCATCACTGTCCACCCAAATAACAGAGGAAGCCCATCAGCAGCCTTCTCCGCCTTACTCCATGTAAAGACAACATTCAAGCGCCATGCGCTTGGAGCTACAAAGTCTTCCTCTTCGGCGCGGTTGCTTCAGGCGAGCAAATTTGGCGGCGTTTCAAGCAAGGCGAACCATCGCCGCATAGCTCCGAACAATTAAATAAAAAAACGGGGGCAAATGATGGGCGGCTTCCGGCTCCCCTCCCCCCCCCAGGCTCCCGCTCGGAAGCCTTGAAAAGGCTGCACTCGACGCTCCCCGGGGAGGAAACGTTTGTTTATTATCCTCCCCAACTACCTTTTGCACGGCGCCTTCCATGGAGCGGGTCAGCTCTTCCCGCTGCTTGTTGAAGCTTTCCTGCCTCTGGCTGATCTGACTGACTTCCCCCAAAAGGTAGTGGACGTAATAGCCCGAGGCCGCAGCGGCTGCCAAGAAAGTCACGGACAGGAGAAAGTTCAGGATGGCGCCGCAGCTGCAGGACGACGCAGCTTTGCCCCCGCCAGAAAGCGGAGAGCCCCCTTTGCTGCCTTTCGAGTGGGCCTGGGGAGGAGGAGGAGGCGGCGGCGGCGGCTTCTTCGCCACGTCATCGAGTTGGTTGGAATGGGCCCCCTTTTCGGAAGAAGCGGGGTTGCCGCTGTTCTTGCTGCTCCTTTGTTTGGCCGCAGAGGACGACATGCTAAGCTGAGCGCCTTGACCGTCTTTGTACTCTGAAGGCGATGGAGCGATGTGGAGACTTCACTGAGGCGTGCTTGGAGGCCCCGCGAGAAGAAAAACGGCTGGAGCTGGGAGAAAGGGGTGCTTCTCCATTCAATTTCGGTACGGAGAGACGGGAGGGAAGGCACGGAATTCAGGCGGGTTTCATCTCCGCCCTGCCCAGCGGCGAGCGCCGCCTCCCAAGTTCCATAACGCAGGGGTGGGAAGGGTGACTGCCACGCACACCGATCGAGGAGGAAAAGGATGGACTGGGAGCGCAGAGAGAAATGCAGAGGGAGGGGATGAAGCTGTATTTCCTGCACTTGGCATTTTTTGCAAAACTTTCCTTCGAGTACGGGGAAAGTGGTGTGGAATCTCTTGTTTCCCCCTCCCCCCCCCGAATAAAAACTTCACCTAAGTTTCTGGCGTTACAAATGTCTTGTTTTTTCTAGACTTAAAAGCCTTGAGTGCAACCGCTTCGGCGTTTATTTTGGGAAAAACCCTTCAGATCTAAGAATTTTAAACTTGAGTTATAGCTAAAGAAGTGGTTCCGAGAGAGTTTTGGAAGTTGCGGGTGAGCACGAGGACAGCGAGGGAAGTGAACTAACAAGGATTATTTCGTATAGTCAGGGATTAATCCTGTGTTCAAAAAAATTGGGCCGAATGATTGCTTCTTTTGTTCTTTGTTTTCATATTGCTTTTATTTTTTTCTTTTGGCTATTAAATAAGATGCATATAATTAATAACAGAATTGAAGACTATAGGCCTTTTCCCATTCTTATCTAGTCATGGCGTAAATAAACCGATAGTCATTTTCTTCCTTCTCAGATAAGACGAACAGATCTTACAAACCGTGAGATTGTCCTTGGCCCATATTGGAATAAGGCAGAAAATGATACAGTAGTTTAATTTCAGAACAGCTAAGAATGTCGTGAGCCTCCCTCATTTGTGGGTTGGGGATAAAATAAAAGTAATGTCAAGGAGCCTGGACTAAAAAAATGTGTTGTTTTTTGTGCTGTGATCAGGTGCAATTTGGGGAAAAGACTTACTCAACAGAAATAGTCTCTTACATGGAGATCTTTGCTGAACTGGTGCACCTACTCTTAGTTAGAAAAGGAATCTTGTTAATTTCTGTGGTGTGCTCTGCTAGTCCAATTCATGGGTTTTCAAGAAAAAGCCTCACTTTGTAGAAGGGGGAGAGAGTTTGATAAATATACATCAATATGATAAATCTTCAGTCAGTTAAAATTACAGATGGTGAGAGTCAGAAAGAGATAACATTAAGGAAGTAAGATAAACAATAGAGGTAAAAATAGCTGGGTTTGAGAAAGGAAGAAGAAAGCTATAAAAATATATAGGAAATGGCTAGCCAGGAAGTATAGGAAAGCAGGAAACCATGCCAAATAAGATAAGAAGAGAGGCACAATGAATGGAGAACAGGAAAAGAACTTATTGTTTAAAATGATATATATCTGAGTTTAAAATAACCATAAGAAAATATTTTTTCTTATTCTTATTGTATATGTGAATATGATTTAGTATGTTATCAGGAAATATGTATAGGCGGACGGAAAGAGTGTAACCTCATACTACCTCAGCCAATGGGGAAAGAGGAGGGCTGTAGCGGCCGGTGATAGGGATGAATAAAAGAAGGAGATATTTTGGGTTAAAACTTTGGAGAGAACCAAGCTTTGAAAGCTTCTCTCCCCGCTTATTGCAATAAACGAAACAAAAGGCCTTCACTGTGTCTTGGCTGGTTATTGGTCAGGCGAGCTTGCCTCTGGTCACGAAGGAAAGTAGCCAGGAGCACATAACAAGTTCCTTTATGCCATAAAGTTTATGGAATATGTGCAAGCAAATTGTCTTCCTGAAGCTGTAGCCTTTGCATGTCTGCATGTAACATTATTTCATAGGACTGCAGTTTAAATATTCTTGGTCATCAGAATAATGATACTGTGTAATGGGAAAGTACCAGGTTCCAAATCATAGTCACTCATAAGGATTTCAGCAAAACTTTATTATTTTAGAGAAGGTCCAATGGCTGTAGATCTATGCTAGAAGCAAACTGACGCCTCTCCCACCAATCAGGTTGATGCCAGTGTTGAGTGCTTTCCAGTGCTAAGTTCAAACACCTTCCTGCACCAAGGGCATAGTTTTGTGCACACAGAAGATGATAAGGTTCTGTTCATACATAATTTTCCTATTCCAGCGGGAAGTAACTGGAATCTGTGCAGTGCCTAGTGATGCAATTGATTTTATTACTGGGAACTTCAGTCTACTTCCCACTCAAAACTCAAGCTGATCTGATAATGCCTTCAGATTCTTTCCATTTGTACACTAATGTTTTACTACTGCTTCTTCCACTTTTGTCTGAATAGAAAAAAGTTGTAGTGACGGAAAAGTTAACATAGCTGCACAATGGCTTTTTACAGTCGTGCTAGGAGTTTTTCATGCAGAAGCAATTGGGTCTTTAGTAATGTCAGTCAAAAACAATGTATAGAATGAAGGAGGGTTCTGTGAAATTCTGAGTGATACAGCAATTGTTCAAGTAGAAAAAATAAGCATTCTTCAATTTCTTAAAAAAAATTTTAAGGAGGGATAAGAATTTGATTCATGATCCAGCTGCAAATTGAGGAAGTATAACTATAACATACTACTGTCTTTGCACTCTTTAAGTGGTAACTTTTCTACAAGAGGAAAAAAAGGGCAGTGTTGCAGTTATTTCAGACTGCTGTCACAATAGTTTAGGACAGTGAACATAGATGTTTCTCTAAATACTTCTTTTTCTCTAAAAACAAAATATGTTGAGTCTGTTCAATGAAAAAAGAGTCTTCATTACTAAAATGTGAACATCTCAGGTAGTTCCCTCCCCTTCTGGCCATTTCTCAGCTGATCAATTTATTTCTGAACATGGACTTGCTTCCTATTTTCAGACTATTGTATTCATGTAATGGTTTCCACTGCCATAGATAATTAATTTTAAATTACCTTGCCCAAATAGATTGACCTGCATTAGAAAATGGGATCTATGACATACTCAATTCAGATGTCTTGAATCATGAATTTTGTAAATGCAAAATTACAAGCTCTATCCAGTACTGAAGAGAGAAAGACATAATGTTACCTAACCTGTACTGAAAACATCTAGGTGAGAACTCAGTGGTTCCAAAATATGTCTTTGTAGCCTTAAGTACAGATTAGCCTCTGAACAATTCTTCATTTATTTATTGAGAAGCCAATTGCACTGAGTTTGATAAAACTTATTTTCAGGCGGATGGAGGTATGTAGAACTAGAAGCCTTAGTTTCCAATGATTTAGTCTAGATGGCAACCTTAGCCTTTGTTTGAGGAAAAAATACATTTTAGAATGATTCTAGATTAGTCTAGACTAATTGTCTTCTACAACCTTCTCAGGCTTTTCTGAGAGGAAGTTTGCGTAGTGTAAATACCACCATCTTTATAATCCTTATGTACTAAATAGATTTTATAAGGTTTTTAGACAATTAAAAGACATGACATCAGCTTACATTTGGAAATAGATTCAGGTAATCTCTATGAACCTAATCCCTATCCCCATTGACCAAGGTAAGGGCAGAATTCAAAGAAAAACATGAACATAAACTTGGAGTACTTCTGTGAAAAATGTTGTTACTTAGATAATATTTACAGAGTTTTATCTTGAGCAAGGACTATGACTTCAAGTTTCAAATTCTAATTTCCCATTTGCTGTTAATGTACCATTACATGGATGCATCTGCAAAAGAGTAATTACCCAGGAGAGACTCTAGATAGAATGAATGTACCACTGAAAGCAAAATCTACAGGCAGTCCTCAACTTACAACTGTTCATTCAGTGACCATTTGAAGTTACAACGGCACCGAAAAAAGTCATTTATGACTATTTTTCACAGGTTGTTGCACCATCCCCATGGTCACGTGATCAAAATTTGGATGCTTGGCAACTGACTCATGATGGTCGCAATGTCCTGGGTCATATGATCACCAAAGTTAATGGGGAAGCCAGATTCATTTAATAACCATGCTACTAACTTAACAAAAGCAGTGATTCACTTAACAACTGTGACAAGAAAGATCATAAAAGGGCAAAACTCACTTAACTTTCTTGATTAGCAAAGAAACTTTGGGCTCAATTGTGGTTGTAACCTAGGACTACCTATACATCTCTCCCTTTGAACAAATATCTTTGAGCGGTACTGTTTAAGTTGGATAGGGAGTATGTGTTTAACATTATTGTTGCTGAATGTTTATATATTATAAAATTTCAATCTGAATCTTTACAAGTTTTACTCCATATGAACTTTATCAGATACACACAGGTAGAATATCAACTTAGAAAAAATGTAATTGGGATTAGTAAGTATCATTCTGGCAGAAGTAAAAGGGGGCTTAAAGGAGCAACAAGACTCAAAGGCACCTCTTTCTTTTTGTAAATGTGATTACTGGCCACACCTACCATTGCAGTTGTTTTATGAACGCACTAATAACTTCCTCTCAAATTTCCAAATGTACTCTCTTAAGCAAAAGAATTTCCTTGTGGCATATTTTTATAACTAGTCCATTTACTGTATTGTATGTTCTAGGGTGCCACAACCATGTTAACAATACCCAAGAACTTGAGAATAGACTGAACATGTTTGAGCAAGTCAACAGCAACCTTCTTGCTTTGTCTTTGTGCCTAAACAGTACTTTCTCAACAACCTGAGGCAGACATTTCCTATGGGCCTTCCTTCAGCGATACTGCTTTTTTCTTCTGGATATTATGCCCTACTACTATCTCCTCTCCAGAAGTCAACTACATGAAAGAAAAATGTATGTATCCTATATAGCTTGACTTATTCAAATAAGAAATGGAAATAAACAGCTCACTGACCAATTGCACTTAGATTGTATTTGCCCACCTCAGCAGTCAAACCCAATCTCAAATTTTGACCGATGATAGTTATAAAAATAAAGGCTATGAAAAGTATAATAAACCAGCATTCCTAAATCAAGTGTTCATCCTATACAGTATGTCCCAGAATCCCCAGGCAACCTATTGTTCATGTTTGTGGCAATTGTGAGAGTAATAGGCCCAAAACATTTGAAGACAGACTGGGCAAAGCTGGAAAAAAACTAAGAATACTGAGATAATTTTGTCAGATGACAAAAGATGCTTCCAGTTCTCTGCTGGTAGGATAATTTTAAAACAATAAATACTTTATTTGTATTTATAGAACTATACAAGTCCTATACTTTTGTATTGTTAGTAGAACTTGATGTACTCCAGCCTTCTACAGTCAGCTTCATTTTAAAACATTTTCTGGATAATAAAAATCAGCTATGAATTTGTGATTAAAGTGAAATTGTATATGCTTCTTTTTCCTTCTCATTTTGGTCATTGCTGCTATGATAAAATATGATAAACAAGGATAAATGTAGATCTGTAACTAGGGTTGCCAACTACTATTACTGCTGGTGATCCTGATCCTGCTGGCTTTAATACGGTAGATAAACAGGACTGCAAATGCAGAGTTAGAAGTACCAAACCATGCCAGGAGAAAAACAGTTGACATAAGTAGATACCCATCACATCTTTCACATTTAGTAACCAGGTTAAATCTATTCACTATATCTTTCTGCCTTGCAAGCCATAATTTCTCCTATCATGATCATGTCTCACTTTGTATATTGATCTTATTCTTTAGTCTTCTCATCACTTTTTCAGGATCTATAAAGCCTTAATAAGGCCACACCTAGAATACTGCATCCAGTTTTGGTCACCACTATAAAAAAGATGTTGAAACTCTAGAAAGAGAACAGAGAAGAGCAACAAAAATGATTAGGGGCCTGGAGGCTAAAACATGAAGAACAGTTGCAAGAACTGGGCATGGCTAGTCTAGTGAAGAGAAGGACCAGTGGTGACATGATAGCAGTGTTCCAACATTTGAGGGGCTGTCACAGAGAGGAGGGGGCCAGCCTATTTTCCAAAGCACCAGAAGGCAGAACAAGAAGCAATGGATGGAAACTAATCAAAGAGAGAAGCAACCTAGAACTAAGGAGAAATTTTGTAATGGTGAAAGCAATTAACCAATGGATGAACTTGCCTTCAGAAGTTGTGGGTACTTCATCACTGGAGACTTTCAAGAAAAAAATGGACAACCACTTATCAGAAGTGATATTGGGTCTTCTGCTCGGGGGGGTGGGGTTGTTGGACTAGACAACCTATAAGGTCCCTTCCAACGCTGTAAAATTCTTCAATGTATTTCTTCTGCACTGCTCAGTCATGCATTTGATCAATCCATTAATCAGTCATACGTTTATTCAACCCATTCATTCTTGACCGTTTTATTTCACACCTATGTATCCTATTTCCACTGCATTTAATTTTTTTGCCATATCCAACTTTCACTTCTTTATAATAGAAACATGACCTTACACACACACCCTTAACTTCTTTCATCAAGCATGCATTCCTCACATTAGACTACATAATAGTTGGCAACCGTCTATTGTAGTATATTAATTATATTTGCAGATATGCCAATTTTTCTCTAATTGGAAAATGACTTTTTACTCTAGACTGAGCAGTGATATTTCTTCAGCTTCTGAGAGAACTGGGCAAACAGATTTTGTATATGTGGGTGGGTGTTTCAATAGACATGGGGAAGAAGAAAAAATAATGCCACTACTGTAGCATGGGAGTGTCTTGGTTACTTTATAAAATGAAACAGTCTAACATCCTGCCTCCTAACAGGTGGAGTCCTAACCATATGATTCAGAGTTGGTTCTCCCAAGAAATTGGGTGAGTCAGTTCAGCAAATACAAATATGTACCTTAGTCTCTTCAAGATTTATTAACATTTAAAGCATTAATGGAAGAAACTGCAGTATGTATTTTGAAATAGCTTGGCTTTAATTTAAATTTAACATTGACTTTCAAAAATTTAATCTTTTCAAGCCAATTTTTGAGGCTAAACAAATCTGTGATCCACTTCAAAACAGATTGTTTTGATACTGTAAAAACTGGTTTTGGGGAGAACTTAAAATAGATTTTTTTATTATCTGCCATCAAGTTTTGTTTGACTCCTAGTGACCACGTAGATTTTTTTTTCATGATAATCTGTCCCTGATCTGATCCTTCAGGTCTTCTCATGGTGCACTCATCACCACATCGAAGTCCATCTAACTTACTGTTTGTCATTCTCTTCTCTTTCTTTCCACCTTTCCAGTATTAGAGCCTTTTCCAGAGATCTGAGTCTTCATGTGTTGAAAGTAGCATAATTTGAGCCTGGTCATTTGTGCCTCCAATGAAAATTGTGTTAATGTGCTTGATGATCCATTTTCTTGGCTGTCCACAGTATTCTCAGGAATTTTCTCCAACACCAAAGTTCAAAAACGCCAATACTCTCCTGCTTGCTCCACAGTGTGTCACAGTAAAACAGTAGTACTAAAATAAAATTAACATGTAACTATATATTGTTCATCTTATTTTCCATAACAATTGTGTCTCCAATAACTACCAAGTAGATCACAGGGCAACATTCCTTCATAATTTTTTCCTTTGCTTTTCAGTGGCCTTTGAAAATGGAAATTCCCCCTCGCTATCAAAGTTGATAAAGTGCCCCAATGGATGATACCCACCAAATATGTTGGCCAAAGGAATCGGCTTTAAGGCAAACCTTTTCGTGGATTTGTCCCATCCAACTGTGCCCCTATCTCTTTAGCTACTGTGGATGTGTTGGAGAGGACACTTCCAAAACTGAAGTTCCGGGAAGGCTGAGTGAATCCCAGTACAAAGCATTTAAATTTAGCACCCTGAGGCCAAAACTTTACAGTGAAAACATCTGGACTCTTGTCTTCTTTCGCTTCCCTTCTACGAAACCTCCTATTTTCCACCATCAACGAGAAGATATTTTATCGCATACAGATGGCCAGTTCAAACAGGCAAGCATTATGACACAGGACAGAATCGAGCAACCTACATTCCTACAGCGACGTAAAGCGGTCGCCTGAGAAGGCAGGAAAGAGCTGTGTTTTGGTCCCAGCGCTGGCGACCAGCCATGAAATGAGCCGCTGGAGGAGGAAACCTCCGAGCCGAGCAAGCTGGGAGAACTGGGGACATCCGCTCGCTTCCGTAAACATCGCTTAGCCCCGCCCCTCCAGCCGGGAGAGGAGCATTCCTACCCAGGGAAGGGGAGCGGACCCATCTCAGAGAAGGACGAATTTGCCTCCCTTTTGGGAAAAATACTGCGCAGCCGGCTTCGACCTGTCCGGGCTAAAACGTGTTGCTTCCCTTGCCTGTCGTGTCGGTTAAGATACGGAATGAAACGCTTCCCCCTCTCCTCATAGAGAAGTGGGAGCGTCCAGGCAGCTGCTAATAGACGGCCAAAGACTATGTATAACCAAACGGGGGAGGCGGATGGAGAGTTAAAGACCGAGTGAGAGCAGCTGGGAGCAGCCCGGGCAGAACCGGGGCAACCGAGGACTTCTCTGCCTGGAAGGGTCTCTTGCGGTGAGTGGGTCTTGATTTGCCTTTTTTCTTCCTCCTCTTCCTCTTGAGAAAGGAACGCCCACGTCCTCCCCAAGCCCGAGAATCAGATCGATGATGATCCCTGGATTGTCTCGGGAGCCCCTAGGGCTCGCTTGCCTTGCGGAGAACCCTGAGCGCGGTGAGGGTGGTGGTGGGGGAATCATTCTGGCTGGATCCTAATGTGAAGCACAGCCCGTGTCAGACTCTGCGGTTCTGATGTGTAAACAATGGCTAATGGCTTACGCTGTTTGTCCAATTCAGCTTGTGTTGGCTTGTTTGGCCCCCTGGTTAAACAAACAAACATAAGGCGGGCGGTGGGAGCTCGATCTCAAGGTGACTCCTCTCGTCTATCAACCGCAAAGCGCGTTTTTTGCAGTTGGGCAAAGCTGAGTGGGGGAAAGAGAGCAATAATTCCCTTTCGGGGGCCGGGGGTGGGGGTGGAAAACCCTCCGTTGGCAACCCTAATCATTTTGTCCTTTTTGAAACACTTTTCTAATGCCCCTGCTTCAGCGTAACTCCTCGGGTACAGTTAAAGATCCGGAAGCGTTTAGAGAAAGAGCAGATAACGAAGGCGAGAAGCGACCTGTTGCTTAGAGGTTTTCCTTGGAAACGCTGGTTTTGTTTGGACCGGAGGGTGCCAGGACGCTTGCGCCTCTGAGCCGCCGCCAAAAATACATCTGCGGGGAGGAGATCGGCCAAGCCGAGGAGGACAAGGAGGAGCTGCTGTTCTTGCCTTCTAGGAGGGGCGTCGAGTTACTCATTTGCTGTTCTTAGTCTTGTACGGTACAATAGAGCGGTGGAGGACGCGGCTCTCATGTTGACTTGCTAGTACAGGTGGCCCTCGACATACCATCATAATTGAGCCCAGAATTTATGTTGCTAAGTGAGACATTTGTTAAGTGAATTTTGCCCCATTTTGCAACCTTTCTTGCCACAGTTATTAAGTGAATCGCTACAGTTAAGATAGTATCATGGTTGTTGAGTGAATCTGGCTTCCCCATTGACTTTGCTTGTCAGAAGTTCGCAAAAGGGGATCACATGACTCCAGGACACTGTAACCATTATAGATATGAGTCTGTTGCCAAGTGTCTGAATATTGATCATGTGACCAAGGGGCTGCTGCAACGGTTGTAAGTAAAAAAAAAGTCATTTTTTTTCAGTGCTGTTGTAACTTTGGTCACTAAACGAACTGTTGTAAGTTGAGGACTACTTATACATCCTCTTACTCTGCCCATTGCATTTGGGGTTATGGAAATAAAATCTCAGGAGGGGGCCACCACAAAAATCTGGGTGACCATTACCTGGGAACCAAGGACAAGAGTTCTGTATATATGAGTTGCAATTATTTATTATTATTATTATTCCTTATAACTCCAATTTAAAATTAAAAAGCAAAACTTCTATATAGTAGCTGTCTAGATTTCTGCAACAGATCCAATAGCCCATGGTTCAGATGTTTATAAACATTCTTGCACTTAAATCATCATCTTAGTTAACAATGGTGTTTTTTTTCTAATTTGACAAATTGTAGAAAGTTACTTAAATATTAAATGTTTCTAAAAGTACTTTAAACACAATAATAAATCACTGCCGAATCATAAGTTATGTCTATTAGCACAGAATACACCATAATAATTGCATATCTCTCCATTTCTGCAGAGATTCTCTTGATTTTTCAGGATTTTTCCATGAGATCATGTGAAACCACCTCAAATCACAGGACACATTTGCCAGGCTTCTTAGTCATGGGACCTTTTGCCTCCATTGCAATATTAAAACATAATTTGAAGCCCGAATCTTCCTGATTTCATTTAATCCTTACATGGAACCTACATGAAATCATCAAGAAATAAATATGTCTGTCAGGTCCGTAGAATTGAACAATCATGGATCTCACCACTTTTGGCTCCAACATGACACAAAAATTGAGTTTGAGAGAGATAATTGGATTTTGCATCACTTTTAAAGGAGTCACGTGACATCATTCTAAAGTCACAAAACACCTTTGTCTATAAAAGTGAACTATCGCAATAGATCCTATCAATTGATTGGATACTTGGATTCGAGGCATGAATCTGTATCCTTTACATTGGATCAATTTGAAATAATTGTTAAAACACTGATCATAGATTTCTGCATAAAACCAAACATCAGAACTACAGATCTGAGTATCTGGAACATAATGCAACAGACTTCTATTTGAAAAAAGAATACTCATGAATATTCTTGATTTTTACACATAGTTTATCTGAAACATCAAGTGATAAATCATATCACAAAACTGGTAATGTTTGGCTCCCTTGTTATAAAAACAAAAAGAACTTACTTTCATTAAATTTTATCTAGCAGTAACTCATAAAATTCAAAAAGAAGAAATTAATCTGAAAATAATCATAAAGAAAACAATAGAAAATAATATTTGTCAGGGTTGAACTATAGAGTCTTGAGTGCTCTCTGAGCATGGCTGTTTGTTTGCAGATATAATTACTCATAAGAAAGCAACCAAGCTCAGAGAGCACCAAGGACGCCACAATACAGAGAACATACAAAAATCATCCACAATGGTGATGACAGATAGATAGATTGATAGATTGAGCAGATACTGAAATCCAACGGAAGTGCGTAAAAGTGATAATAACAGGTATAAGAGAAATATTTCCCACAAATTCTCAGAAACGATAGCCCTTGCACCATGATACGGAAAGGAAAATTATGTTTACTAATAAAGAATGACTCACTTTAAAAGATGGCAGAGTAGATCTGAAAGTCCAGGGGCATTTGTAGTAGGAAAACAAAGTATATATATATATGTATTGTGACACTTCATTGCAGGTGAATCAGAGATGGAAGTCAGGAATGCTCACCATCTTTCATTACTAACCCCTTTGAATTCTGTGAATTCCAATTTTGCAATATTTTAAAGATCCTAAGACTGATAGCATTATGGTGCAACCATATTTTTTCACTAATATATATTCTGAAGTTTTTTTTTCTATATAGATGTACATAAGATTGCAACACAGTGTCCAATACCAGAAAAAAAAACTCCAGGCAGAAGACTTGCACGAAATAAACCTGCAATAAATATGGATCATTAAATGAATAATATTTTCTTGAGGGAGGGAGAGAGACTCTACATTCTGAAGAGTTCTATCAATTCTGTAAGCCTTTGTCTCTTGTCTCTTCCTCTTAATAATGGACTGTATTTTAACTAAGATGCACTTTCTTCCCTTTGGGGGAATTCACTTAAGTTTTGAAGAAGTAACTTAAATGTGGAAAGCAATATTCTGGGGGGGGGGAGGGAGGAGTTCAAGCCTTCTTTCTTCCAGAGCTGCTACTTCATAAATCAGGATTTGCCCTTTTAAATGAAGAATAATCTAGGTCTGAAATACAGATACTGCAGGAGGGGGAAGAAGAGACTCCACTTACAGATTTTCCAGGTCATGTTTATCTTAGTCTTAAAGAAAATGCTAGGACAGCTGAAGCATTTACTAAAAATGCAAGGGTAGGAAAGAACAATAGGTTGAAAGGTCACTAAAGCACTTGTAATTCTTGGTAAAAATTATGCAATCTAAATTATTAGCTAATGCTAAAGTCTACGTAGAACATATCTCTAAGTATTTATTTTAGATCTCAGGAGAGAGTTGTATATTCCTTTCTTACTAGCGTGCAGAGAGAAAACGAAGAAAAAGGTTGCTACTCCAACGACTGAATTTAGCTCATAGCAGGAGAAAAACGAATTTCTGTCTTCTGGATTAATGTTTGCAATGAGTTATACATAAAACTAAATGTTCAGAATCTGATTTACAAACATCAGTAAGGTGATTGAATTAGGATGTACATATAATGTCTTCTCAAGAAACAGATCTACTTAAATGAAATACCACTGATAAAATTAAATTCTCACCTAATGATGTTACATTATGGAATTTACTGTTAACAAAACTTCATTAAAGAAACCTATTTCCCACTTAATTATCTACATCTCTATAATTAATATAATAAGTGTTGCTGCTCAGCTTCCATTCATTGGAAGATTGATAAGGTGATTATTGCTATACCTTTGTATATGGGTTGCTATGTTTCTGAGTTCAAAAAGATATGCTTATGATATCTGCTAATTCCTCACCATGCACAGGCACACACAAAACATAAATTTTCTACTGAAGCTAAAGCCATACAGAGCCATAAAGAGCCATGTTGCCTTATTTACTCAGATTAGTATATTCTTGAATCCTTTTCCTCTTCTGAAAAGGGAAACAACAAACAAACAGTCCAAGAATTTCTAAGTCACGTATTGTACTACGGTATCACTGAAGTTGGTCAGCACTGATTCTGGTGTGTGCAAGAAGAAAGGTCGCACATTCCTTAAATGATTTTTTTCCCATTATGAGATACTAAATGAACCACTTTTCTATTTTAATTTTCTGCTTCTTCAAAGAACTATTTATACTCCAGCCTTGTTTTAGCATGGAGTGTAGATGGGTTAGTTTTCAAGTAACATTGTTTGTCAGCAAAAGCTAAGAATTATTAGAAGCATCAGCCTGGGAAAAATGAAACATTTTTAGTAATTAAAAAAAATGAAAGCTGCCACTACAGGATCTATATTTGTGAGTAGAATTATGCAACTGGTACATTGCATGACTCTCCATAATCCCTCTGTTTTGAAGTCCCAGGTTTTCACTAGGAGTTTGGCGAGTTCGTGCATGAGTTAATGTTATGTTTGCCCTTGCCACTCTACAGGTGATGATGTAAATGTAAAATTATATTTTAATAAAATCACTCCATCAGCTTAAATATTTGATATGCTTGTAAAGATATTCATGCAGAAATGAATATTGCTTAAAAATGAAATTGCAAGTGTTTCACAAATACGTAAATGTTAACAGTAATGGAGACTGAAAAGTCTATAAACGACTATGCAAATTCCATCTTATCTCATCTTCTGTCCCAGATAGGCATTATACTTAGTTGACAACATGCTATAGCTATACTATTATATTGGTTTTACTCAAATTTCTTCTTTTCTGTGTTTCGGTCTGCAGATCTGCTACATACTTCTTAAATGATCTTCAATATACATATTGAACGTGTAACTGCCAATGAACTGCATCAAATCCCACATAGGAAGCAACTCTTGAACAGGTAAGGATTGACCAGGGTAGGCAGTCTAAAAATAGTGCAGTAAACACAGATTATATATATGCATATATTTCTATTTTTAAATAAGATTCTTTTAAGCATTTAAATATTATCTCAAGTTTTCTTATACAATGTAATTTGTAATGAAGCTTATTTTCCAACCAAAATAAGACTGTGAATTTCTGTTTTAGGTTCTGCTTTTATTTATTGTGTGTACATGTCCTATATAGTTGCACTTAGGACAGATAGGCTAGATCTACCATGTACATTTTTAGGGTGAGTAAGTGAAGTATGTAGAGGTCTTCATATTTACTTTTATTTATTGCTTTCTATAGCGCTATTAGTAGTAGCTTTCCAGTTCCCCAAGATAGCATAAAATGTGCAGACTGCAACGTTATCCACTCCACAATCCTATCTACTCCAGTGATGCATGAACTCTATCACTCTATTTCTGGTTGATGGCATCTATATATATTTTGCATACCTACTGATGGTCATTAATTTTCTGAGATCTCCATGTTTTTCACAGCAAAAAGTTACAAAAAAACCCTTGCAGCCCAAATATCTGAACGTCAGAAACTTTCTACCAGCAGTTCATTTTATTCCTTTCAGTTTCTTATTAATTATTTGGGTTTTTTTCAGCATGCCCATTTAATGTCTGCTTTATCAGTAGAGGGGTTGTTTTCTTGTAAACGTGAACTTTTAACAGTCAGTGGGGCAAACTCATTTCATAATGTAAAATGACAAATTAACATTAGCCAAATACCTCCTATTTGCAATTTAGGGCGGGTGAAAATTTAGGAATGCATTATTTATTTAAACAGTGGAAGGAGTAGAGGACAGAGAGTAGTGAATGAGTCTGACTTGAGTAAATTTCTGATGTATGTAACTTGACGCATAAATTAAAAATATTTTTCTTGATGCTTTGTATATATATTCTGAGTAAGTAGGTAAGAAAACTGTTTGCAACTTCTGTCTTTCCTTACTTCTGAATAAAATATAAAACCAGTATTTAGATAAGTGGCTTGGTTTGATCTATGTGAAGATCATCCCTTTAAGCTTGAGAATCAGAATATATCCTGGGAATAATAATATAGCACATAGAAATAACCATATCCTTCTTTCTACTACATTAGTAGGTAATTATTTGGTCATTAGGGTATTCAGGTTCTACACTGAGTTTCTGTATAGTATGCACAAACATCTTTGAAATGTGCATTTTTAAATTGCAACTTTCTGTAGCTGATTTATTATTACAAATGATTATTTTCCAAAAACCTTTTCTATAAAATGGAAAATGTACATTTTGCTGATTGCTACATCACATATAAAATCAGAAAGAAGATCCATTTCTAAATGTCAGTATGGTAATATCTGAGGAGCAGAATATATTCGGAAGTTTATTTCTATTAGCTATTTTAAAAAGATCACAGATGGGATTCCAAACAAAGAAACTATGAAGTTGGAAGGGAAGCATCTCAAATTTCTTTCTGGAGTCTTCATGCTCTCTGCAAATGAGGGACAGTCTCATTTAATTACCTGGCTCAGTGACTCATGTTCTTGTGTATTTTATGCAATATGACATACAGGCACAAAACTCTAAAGTATGTAGTTGTGTTATTATTATGTCAGTTTTCTTCATTGGGTCTGACACTCGTAAGTTAGATAAATTGTTTCTGGACTGTATCGTTACATATTGTGATTTTATTCACACATCAAGCTAAACAATAGTGTAATTTATTTGGTTTTGGCTTAGTGAGCTATGTAAACTCAGCCATTGTCATTGATAAATCATAATTTATAGTCTATCTTGCTCTTCAAATATAGAATTTTTATTTGCTGCTTTTGGGACTATGCCTTTGTTTTACCTTGTCATATGAGCTTTTCTGTAACTACCCAAGAATAAAATGAGTTTTTAAGAGTCTTTGTTACCATGATCATCAAGGCTATGCTATGGCATAAGGAACTTCACTTGCAAATCAAGGGTGGGTTGCTACTATGCTGCTGCTGTAAAGTATCTTGCACATTTGATAACAAAGATTTTTAAATGACCGTGAATGGAACCATTAAAACAAATGACAGCTGTGTTGTGGCTTACCCTTTTGATATTAAAAAGTAAAAGATGCCTGTTACATGCAATGATGTTTTAATCCCTCTTCCCAAAATTCTGTCATCCTGTTAAAAAAAATGATTCCATAATTCCTTGCTATATGCTAACACATCTTGAGGACACCAAGTTAGGAGAGCTGGTTTCATTCAATTTACCGGTAGTTTTTGTGCTTACTCATTAAGTTTACATCCAAGAAGAGAAATGAAGACTGGCATACTAATCTGCCTCTCCTTCACCATTTGTAGAACTAATTCTCAAGTCCACAAAGAGGGCACCTTCTCTACAATTAATTGGCTGTCAATTCATTGGTAGTTTTGATTAAGAAGATTCCTATGGAACCAAGGAACATCTGGAAAATGTTCATGTTGTAAACAGGAGATTCATGCTTGCATGAAGTATTTGTTGACTCATTGCCAGAGCAGTTTAATAATTGCATGACTATGTAAGTTCCAACTGTAATTTTTAAACTGTATGATATCATGTTTATTTCCTGTCCTGCACACGTGCCTAGATATGATAGGTGGGATTATTTATCTACCTGACCAACCCTATAAATGGTTGCTTTTCCTTGGCACAGGAAGTATTTAATTGCATCATGAGGATTATTGATGGTTCACTGCAAGAGGTGTTATATGTCAATAATGGATTTTCAGTTATGGGTTTTTCAAAAGTGAGTAGGTATTAGCATAATAATGGATAAAGTATATGAATTGAGTAATGGCTGGTTTAAATCTCTTAGATCTCTTATCACACTGCAGTGTTGGGTTTCATATTGCACAAATTGGCACATTATTTAATCCACTAGACAAATATTCTAAGTTTATCAGTTGGATGATTGCCACTTATTTAACTGGTTAAATACTATTGAATATTCCAAGAAATTCAAAGTCATTACTTCTCTTTTTGTTGTAGTAACTCTTTATTAACAAGAATAGAGTAAGGATCATTTGGACCTAGAAAATGTAAAACTTCTGTTAGTCTGATTCTAGTAGTAGGTACTAGAATCCATATCCAAAAGGGAACTGTCTCTATTTAAAATTCCAGTGAAAAATGGAATTTATTCAGTTATGCAAAGTTTAGTTAATAGCATTTTGATAAGGAAGAGCATCTCAATTTTCAAGGAATCCAGTGGTCCATAAAATGCTACCTTAAATTCTGTAAGATTATAGCCTAAAATGATTTTTATTATTTAACACTAGACATTAAATGCCCAGTCTAGGTTTTTATATTAGAATATGAATCTGTCTTATACAATTCCTATAAAGACAGATAAAATGATATATGTGGAAAATCCTTTGAAGTGTTAAGTAACGTCTGTCTTTTTAATTTTCAAGAGGACTGCATCTACCTCTAGACAATTGTGATAATTTCATTTGGTGCTTCCTTACACAGGTTAGTATACAGTTTTGACTAACATTCAGTAATTTACTTGTCCATAGTTTAATTGTCATGACCATCAAGTAGGACAATGTCCACATCTGAGTTGGGAATAGCTGTAATAAAATATAATGCTGCAAATATGGAAAATTCTATTATATAAAGAACATAATCTGTGATTATGAATAGTCTAGGTTTGGTGTCTTATTTTAATTATTTTTCCCAAGATTCTTAGCACTACCTTGTACACCATACAGTTTAAGCCAGTTTGGTATAAAATCCAAAGATATTTAGTAATACTGCATGATTCATTTTTAAATGTACAGTAAAATGGATAAGTTGTATTTAAGATAGGTAATATCTGCTTATCAGATTTATCCAAAGGCAAGATGACACCATCCCTCAAAGGAAACTTAGAGAAAAAACCCCTCACCTGCTTCCTATATTTTCAGTGAATCTAGGGATATCCTTCCATTTTAAAGATAAATTATTTGGAATAAACACTACTTTAAATATTGTTCTCCAGTGATAACAGTTTTAAAGACTTTCTTATAGCTGTATCAAACAGATTTTAATAAACCCCTTTTAAAACATTTGGCAGGCTCTATTTACTGGATCAACAGAAGTGATCCAAAATGCCTTTCACTGATGAGCAGAGCAGTGACTGTGATTCTTCAAGATCTTCAGAAAGTGCAACTTCTTCATCTAGTGACTCTGAATACTCAAGGCAGAGTTTTACCAGTGATTCTTCAAGCAAGCCCAGTTCTCCAGCCTGTAAGTAAGAAGCACATACTGGGATATGTGCCTTTGAATTGCCAAAAGGGTCTGGGATAAGTTCAGGTTGGATATGCAGATCCTCCTCCATTTGGAGGAGAATGTTGGTGAACTATTGTCTTCTGGCCTAATTTGAACATTTGTAGGATTTGTGTCAAAGATGGACAGTGCAATGACCCTGACACTTCTAGATTGTGTCCTCAGAACATTCAAAATAATTTCCCAAATTGTGGAAAATTTCAGCAGTTTCCTAGGGGAGTTGAGGCTGGCCACATTTTAGAAGGGTTTTTTTTAGCTATCTTCCATGACATCATACCAAGTCTTCTGGGTGAAAAAGATTGCCAGAATGTGAGATTATTGTTAACCTATAACCAGCATGGGTTTGGGTTCTAGCAGTTGCCCATATATTGATGCTGGGCATTAGTAAAGATGTCATGAAGGACTTCCCTGAATTATGTTTATAATTGCCATTAAAATGTATTAGCCCAGAGGTCCCCAACCTTTTGGGCACCAGGGACCGGTTACGTGGAGAGAGGGTGCGTGATTTTGTGTGCTGCCTACATCCTGCGGATGGGGATTTGCTTGTTTGTGTGGACTGGTTTCTGGCATGCCGTGGCCTGGTACTGGTCTATGGACTGGGGGTTGGGACCCCTGTCTTAGCTTATCTGTCTGCAGAGAAATGCCAGCCATATCCTTAAGTACCTTTTAAAATTTTGCTGAAAAAGTATTAAATAACAAAACATTTGAGTTGTCCTCTAGCTGAACTAAATGATCATCTTAGAACATGTCCAAAATATTCTATAACTTATGGGTATACTGGAAATGTAATTTTGTGCAAAAACATTTCACTAAGATAATGCTTGAAAAACTTTACTTTGAATAGAATGTGTATTTCCTCATTTTAATTCACTTCTGTCTAGTGTTTATTTACTCACTGATTGTATTAATACATTCTTAGTTGGATTTCTCTATTAAAATATCTTACACCTGAGTAAAATGGGAAAATAATAACATTTTTGTATATATAGAAGCAATAGCATGCCAATAAAAGGAAAACATTCTGTTTCGAACATATATATTTAGATACATATTTTAAAGAGATTTTATTAAAAGAGATTTTATTAATTGACTTCAAAGAGCAAGCAATTTCTGATGTGCAGAGATTAGAGTTGGCCTTTTCACTAAAGAGAATGGGCCAACTGTGGCTGAAACTTGGTGCAGTGAAAAACATCTTGAATCTCTGATGTTAATCTGTCTCCTTCAAGTAAAGTTATAATTCCTGTTTTATTTCTGCTGTCAAAATAAAGTACACGTGCCAGTTTGATTAGCGTTTGTATCGAGCAGGGGTGTCAAACTTGCAATGTCACATGATGTGTCGCAATGTATCGCAACTTTTTTGCCATTGCCGGGAATGGGGTGGGTGTGGTTTCGCTATGATGCATCCAACCCACGGGCTGGCAGTTTGACACCCCGGGTATAGAGGGTCAAGTACAAAGGAGGAATTCTCTGGGACAGCACATATTAATCAGGGCTTGCTGAGCAAGGAACAGTTGGCTGATTTCATAAACCATGGTTTCAGCTACAGTAGGATGCTGATGGAACATGCAGGCCAAATCAAAGTGCAGTTTGACTTAGTATGGTATGTGAACCCAGTTACAGAATGGTGGGGAAGCTCAATTAACTTGTCCTTAAGTTTATTTCTAAGCTAGTCTATTGCTTCAGGAATAAACACTAACATCCTGTTACAAGAACAACGAGAGGGGAACAAAGACTGGCAGTTTTTGAATTGCATTCCAGGTAACAAAATCTTCCAGTTTGGAATTTGCCAAAAAAGGAGATATTTTGTGAAAATACAAGTTCAAAGTAATGTTTTTTAAAACACTAAATGAAGAACCCAGAAATGAAAAATATTGATCTGTTTTCATGTTGAGTCAATGTGGCATGTGTTTTATTTCTTGATTCCAGCAACAAGCCCTCCCAAAATGGTTACGTTTGATGAAATGATGGCAGCTGCAAGGAATCTCTCAAACCTGACTCTGGCTCATGAAATTGCTGTAAATGAGAATTTTCATTTGGAACGCATAGAGCACCCACACAACAGGTAGGTTCTAAAAAAGGGATGGAAAAGGGAGCCAGTTTTCTGACAAATCAACAAGCATTCACAGATAGTTTGCACAGTTTCAGGGGTCCTTTCAAATGTTCATCTTTTGGTACAGAATGTGTATTCAAAAAGCTAAGCAAGTTTTTTTCAGGTTACTCTTGTGATTCAAACTAATAAGCCCATGAAACTTACACATTGCTACTTTAAAAAAGACCCCGAGCATACAATATTCCTATAAATACCGGTTAAGGTATCACACAAATTGTGACCTCTGTAACAACTGTAATGGCCCATTTCACAAATAAATTGAACCCTGATCCTTGGTTTATAAACTGCCATGGCTAAGATCTTTCTGTTAATGAAATGATAGGTCCTCTAAGCAGGAACTTGATTTGACTTTTGTAGTTTTAACACTATGCTTCCTTTGAATGTATATACTGTCCTGTCTTCCCATCTCACACCTGACAGCTTGCCTGGAAGGGTTAAACAAATTGTACATAAAGCATTCTGGGATGGCCTAGAAGAAGATTTGAATGAAGACCCTCCTGAGTATGGGCACGCAATCAAACTGTTTGAGGAAATTAAAGAGGTGGGTCTTTGGTCCTGCTCTCTCAAGCTAAGTTTGTTTTTGTCTTGTTGGTAAGCAGCCATGAAGCAGGTTCTTTACATTGGCATTCTGTAAATCAAAGTTATAGATGTAAAGTTGCAGCCTCTCAAGATGTCCCTAGTCTGACTGTCTTTCAGGTATCTTGGCCATCGTGGTTGGGAGAATGGTAAAGTTGAGTTTGAGCACACCTGAGAGCCAATGAGGGTGGGGAGGGCTGCTGAAAAGTATTATAACAGATAGAAAGAAATGATAAGGAAAATTTATATGTAGATACAAAATAGCATGCTTTTTTTTGTTTATGATGGCATAGCTGCCAGGGGCAGAACTGCATAATGTTTGATATCACTCATTGTGGCACCTCTCCTCTAATACTTGTTCTTACTTACAGGCTTCTGGGGGTATGATAGGGACCAGCATTTTCAACAGTCTGATTATGAGAGAAAAAATGCTGATTTGGCCAGCTCTTACTATATTTCCCTACATTGATGTTAGACTCTGATGTAGATTGTTATATGTTCAAGGTGACCACAATAACTGCTCAGCTTATCCTGTCAGTACTGAAAGCCAGTTAAAAATGTGTGTGCCTGGCAGGCTTTGCCTGAAATTTATGTGTATTAGTATTTGCATGCTGAGTATTTAAGCAGGGCCTCAATGGGGTCCTGCTAATACAACTACAACATTACATTATATAACATCATAACATTGTTTTGTAGTTGTTAAAGGTTTTGCGGTGGGTGGGGATGGGATGTCTGTGTGTCTGTACGAATGCATACCTTTGACTTAGTGTTGCCTCCTGGCAACCGCTTGGGCTACTCTCTATAGTTTTGTTGGCAAGGTGTTTCAGAAGTGGTTTGTCACTGCCTCCTTCCTAGGGCTGGGAGAGAGTGATCAGCCCAAGGTTACCCAGCTGACTTTGTCTCTGAGAAGTAGAACTCATGGTCTAAGCCTGATGCCTTAGCCATTACACCAAACTGACTTTCTTGTTGTTAGTAGAACTCAGATGTACTTATTAATTTTTCACAAGGTTTTTGAGCTTCCAGGCAGTTCAAAATTGCCTCCATGGTTTTCCCTGACTTTTTTGCCCCGTAAATTAGGCAGTTGGGGGGGGGAGCAAACTGAACCAAAATCACTTTGTTGTTAGCTTTGTGGCCACTTAGTTCCTCCAAATGACACTTTTGTGAAATAATCTAGATGTGGAACAGCATGTACCTGTTTTGCATCCAGATATGGCATTCACATCATTTGAATGAAAAACTGTACAGAGGGTAACTTCAAGTGGCAAGATGGGCAGGACTCATAATTGCTCTTGAAGAGGAAAATTTGGCACATACAACATAAAGCCAAATTCCTGAAATTCCTCCTAACTTGTGGGATTGACTGATTCTCTCTACATGTGTGTTTGACCACATGAAACACACATTGCTATTATGGGTCATTAATTACAACTTACTTGACTTCTGGTTTTAATCTTGCAGATCCTTCTTTCTTTTTTGAATCCGGGGGCTAACAGGATGCGCAACCAAATTTGTGAAGTCCTCGACACAGACCTTATAAGGCAGCAGGCTGAGCACAATGCAGTTGATATCCAAGGTCTTGCAAACTATGTCATTAGCACTATGGGGAAGCTGTGTGCTCCAGTAAGAGACAATGATATCAACCAGTTAAAGCCCACTGGGAATATTGTAACATTGTTGAGGTTGGTATGTTAACACTAGGTGGTGATTAAAAGAATGATCCAAATCAATCTCCCCCAAATTTCTAGGTGTCTTATACCATTTAGAATTCCCAACTAGCATTGCTGTGGAGTCCTTCCATTCATATTTTACTGTTGATAGTCAGACATTAATAATACTTACCATTGACTAAAGCATTGCTAACTGAGGAATTCTAGGAGCTGAAGCCCACCAACCCAAATTTGAGAAACCCTGGACTAAAACATTCTATGTACAATCACCATCTTCAGTCTGACTTTAAACTATGAATCTTTGGCCTTTTTTTTTTTTAGTTTTCTGCTTTTTCCCTATCCCGTCTTTTGTAAAAGCAACCATCCACTTCCATGTTATTTTTGTTCTTGTAAAAGAAGCATCCTTTCATTATATTTTCTTATGGTTCAACTCAGCTTTTAGTGTTGTTTTAATCCCAATGGATATCAAGTCTATCTTGATGGCTATTTGCTTTTTAAAGCTAGTTGCTTAAGAGTTTAAAAAGTGACTTTTGCACTACCAGTTTCCCATAGGCATCTGGTTAAGCCACTGTAGGAGCAGAATAGATAGGATTTGTGTTATCATTTCTTGTGATCTGTGTTTGCAGTAGCTATAGGTTATATAAAGATGTAACTATAGGAACATTGCAGAACAGCTGAAATTCTGCTCAGTAGCTTTACAGTTGCATGCCTTATCTTTGAAGCTTGGATAGGATGTAGTTTCTTATGAAAACTAAACTCTTGTTTAGTTATAATAATAATAATGATAAAGTTGGTAGGGACCTTGGAGGTTATCTAGTCCAACCCCCTGCTCAGGCAGGAAACCCTATACCATTTCGGACAAATGACTGTCCAGTTTCTTCTTAAAAACTTCCAGTGTTGGTGCATTCACCGCTTCTGGAGGCATATAGAGTATATATCATGTTCACATTGTGAGAAAGGACAACCGACAAAGTATGTAAGTACAGTGCTTGAACATACTGCAGATTTGTTATTTCTCTATTCTTTCAGGCAAATATTCCATGTTCTGGATCTCATGACAATGGATATGGTTAATTTTACCATTCAGAGTCTTAGACCTCACCTTCAGCGCAACTTGATAGATTATGAAAGAGCAAAATTCCAAGATATACTTGAAGAAACTCCAAGTATGTTCTTTGTTTACATAAAATGGAATAGACAACGCAGTGGCAACAAAGGCAATTATAAGAGATCTGAAGCAGTTGAGCAAAAACCTGCAACAGATTTGGGGAGAGAAGTGAAGTATTCTAAAACTTGTTAAGGATTATGATCAGTAAAAAACCTTGAGTTGCAAAAATGTTCTGGCTTACATGTTTTACTGTTTGGATGTTTCTTACATTGTATATTCATGCATGATTATGTTACTTTGTCATGTTGTAAGCTTAGTCAGTTTTTAAAAACACTCTAGTTTTCAAGATTCACCTTTATTATCTTTTGGTGATTAGGTCCTGGAGTTATTCATTCCCATAGCTTATTTACTGAACTGGGTACATGCCTTTGTAAAACAAAAATTACAAGTCTGCTCTTTCTTATCTCTGTCTCCAAATGTTCAGGTGCCCTAGACTTGACAACCGAATGGATAAGGGAATCAATACAAGATGAATTATCTTCTATTTCTGGTGAAATGTCATCATCCCCTGGTGCTAATGGGATCTCAAAACCAAACCTTAGTCCAACTGTGCTGTTAACAAACAGCTACCTGAAACTGTTAGAGTGGGATTATCAGAAAAAAACAATTCCAGAGGTAATTTGCTTTCTATCTTAGCACTTTAAGATAGAATATAAATAAGATAGAATAAAACCTTTATTCTCCTTTTTCCTGTAACATACATAGTGGATAGCAATTTATACTTAAATCATGGTTGGCTTAACCATGATTTATGGAATGAACCACAACACACTAATCCAAAAACATTTTATAGGTTAGCATGTTGCCTGAATCTATGCCAAGAGGCTGTTCAATAATTATTACCATTCATAATGTCATGGATAGATTTTTGCAAGAAGATTGGATAAAGCTGACTCCCTTTTATGAGAGCCGATAGCTTGACAGTCATTCATTTCTTTTCATTATAATATTTTGCCTTGTATTTGATGTGATTGGTTATTAATGAAGCCCGACTCTGTGGTAACCTACTTACTTTATCCTATAGAAATTAATGGGAACACCTAACTCTACAGCAGGGGTGTCAAACTGCCAGCCCGTGGGCCGGTTATATCATACGGAGGCCGTGTTCACCCCAGCTCCGGCAATGCAAAAAAAGTTGCAATATGTCATGACACATCATGTTACGTGGCGAGTTTGACACCTGTGCTCTACAGACTATGCTTCCATCAGATTTGATGACAATCATTGTTTTAATAATTTTAAGAGACAGGACAAAGTCATGACAGTTAAGACTATAACACCTAGTCTTAAATGCCATTTAGTACCTTCAGGTTCTTAAAATTTTACTATTTTAAATAGCAATTATTGAGGAGCAACAACAGAAGAAGAATAGATCCTCCTATTCGCATTTGAGAGCTTCCTAAATTTATCTGATTGGTTAATGTGTGATATAGAAAGCTGGGATGAGCCTTGGGCTTTAGCTAGTACCTATGTGGGCTCCATTTGCTCATTAATCTAATTTTCATTTAAATTTTTATAAAATAATATTTATAAAGAAAGGAGTATGGGCATTTAGCATTTGTATTACCAGCAGTATTGAATATAATGAAAATATGGTGGTAGTTCTCAGGGGATTTTTTTTATCCTGAACCTGATGGAAAAAGTTGACATTCTCACAAAGATATACTTAGATGTTAAATATGGTCAGATGCTTGAGGATTATTCCTAAATGTTCCAATTGTTTCAGACACTAATGACAGATGAAACTCGCCTTCAAGAATTATCCAGGAAATTGAACCAATTGAAGATTGTAGGGTGTATTTCTCTAATAACAAGCAACATGTTACCTGCAGTTATTGAAGATATTCCAGACTTAGTTGAGAAACAAAAAAGAATTTCTTTTGTTTTGCTTGAAGGAATGCATAAGGAGTAAGTAAACACATGAATGACTGAATAATGGTTTTTTTAATAGACAAAAGCATTATGTGATAGCATGTTGTTTCTAATCTCCTCCCCTCTTCCTTGCAGGAGTTTTGATTTAAAAGAAGCTCTTAATACAATAGGTGTTCAGACATGTAACGCAGTAAATGAATCATTCACAGAGAGAGGCTTTCAATTATTAAATAAAGAAGTTCAAGCAAATTTGGTAGGTCAGCTCTGCAATATTGTTGAAGAAGACAATGCTGTCATCACCTTAATTGGTTAGTGATGAATTACTTGATATATTCTTACTATGAAATGTAAATTTAAATGTACCTATGTGCCTATGATTCCCGAGCACTCTGTTTTATACATGTATTTTTAAAAATCCTCCCCTTGTCCCCATTGTAAAGATTGGGTCCACCCACTTCTTACATTTAATAGTACATTACTAGTGTTAGATTTAGATTTCAGTTGCAGAATCCAGAAATCCTAGCTTCCCTAAATGGTTAGCCTGGTTTTAGCCAGATTGTTATTTGAAAGGAGCACAAGTTCAGGAAGGCAGCTAGCTTTGTCTCTATTTAAAACATGGATGAACCCTGTCATTAGCTTGCAATAGTTTATGCAGAAGGATCTTCCCACTGACTGACTGTGACAGTGTTAACTGTTGAATAAACCAGTTGACTGGGTTGATCACACATTTTACAAATCAGTGCTGAAATTCACTTAACAAAATGCTGTAAACCAAGCAAACAACATTATGACTCAGGATATGTGAATCTTGGCAGACATGGAGTTTGCTAAGGTTTTGAGAGCAGGAATTGGAAACCTATGGCTCTTTAAGTATTACTAAATCATAACTCTCATATTGTCCTCACTGAAAACGATTGCTTTGTAGACTTCCCTGAAAGAGGAAAGATTTCCTCGGTATAGATTTCCAGTGCATTTTGCAGTCTACATGTCAATCTTTCATAGATGTCAACTTCTATAGCATCAGTATCAACCAGAGTGCCATCTCTATAGCCATACTGCCTTTTTTGATATGTGAATGCTTTGCAGTTAATCAGCATGTTAGTTGATCAGTTTTCATTCATCATGAGAAATTAATGCTGTCCTAAATAATGCCAGGAAGTCTAATTGTACATCTATGTGTTTTTTTCCCTTTTTACAGGTAAACGAATTCATTTGTACATGAAAAGCTTGCTTGCTTCTCCATGCTTTCAAAAATCTATGCCTACAGTTCCTGGAGGTCTTGGTGTGATTCAGAAAGAGATAGAGACTATTGGATCGCAGTATGCTAGCATTGTTAACCTTAATAAACAGGTTTATGGACCATTCTATGCAAATATTTTTCGAAAATTGCTGTTCAATGAGACCGAAACAAACAAAGCAGAACTTGAGACTTCTTCCAACTGAAATATGTACAGCTTCTTTTTTGTTCCCTCCTTTTCACAATATTTATATTGTGATCTGCATTCTTCTTTTTTGACTATGCATAGCTTGCAGTGATGACTGTTAATGGAAGACAGAGAGAAATGTGTCTTTAACATTATACAGATTATAGTCAAATAAATAAAAGTTCCCTCCAAATTAAAGCAATTACTAAATTTTTTTTTTTTTTTAATTGAAAATTTTTAAATTTTTACAAAAACAAATCCCCTTCCCATACCCCCCCCAACCCTACCTCACCCCCCTCCTCCCCAACCTCCCAAACCCTCCCCTAGACTTCCCAGAGCTGAGTACAGGCTTAATTGAGAAAAAAACTTAAAACACTTTTAAAACCTAAACAAATTTAAATACAATCATCATTCTATATAAACTCCCTCCAAAAACGCAAATTTAAACATTACTTTCTTTGAATATCTATAGCTATAATGTAAAATCTAATTTCTCCCTCTTTCTTTATCCTAATACAAAATAAATAAAAGTTCCCTCCAAATTAAAGCAATTACTAAATTTTTAAAATGTAACTTTTGAAAGGATTGTTTGTAACAATGGCACTTATTTACTGTAACTTCTTTTTCTTACACAAATATTTCAGATGTGTATAAATGCCCACAGTAATATGAATCTTTTAAATGCTTAATATGCTTATGTGAGTGACTATGGTGCAATAATATAAAATGTATATTTCAAGATTTAATCTGAAATAAATGTTAGGGCATTTGCCTTCTGCCTTTACCCCAAATGGATTGCTCAAGGAAGCCCCCCCCCCCATTTCTCTTTTCTCACAAGATAATAGGGATGTGTCAAATTTGTCCCAGGCAGTTTCCCATTTTGAGCCTTTAATGTATGCAGTCTTCATAATAGTTTAATAGCAATTGCTTAGAATTTAGTAGCCTCTGATTTCACCTGGAAGAGTAGTTCATTTTTTTTAAAGGGAAGTCATGATATTTTAACTGACTTGCTTAACAACTTGCTGAATTATATACAAGGTATATTTAAAAAGAAATTCTCAACATTGAAGGGCTAAAATACATTTAATGTATAATTTTTTGTTTACTACCAGCATGAATCAGAATTTGAAAATGGACAGCTTAAGAAAGATGTATGATATTAAACAGCAAATGCTGAACATATGAACACTTTTTGCAGATTTATGTTAATAAATAGTCCCAGTTGATATTTACTTGCTTTTTTCCTAATAAAAAATGTATTATCATTTTAGCCATAACATGCAATCCTCTTACCATATGATGCTTCTGAAGTGATTGTCACAAAGACTTTCAAGAACGACCTTAATGTTTAAAATAACTGCTGATACATACCTAGGTAATTGTTCTTACAGAAATAGAACTGTGTACATCAGCCCATCAACCTGGTGACAAGCAAGGAGTTCTGAAAGTTAGAATCTCTACAAAATCAGAGAGATATCAGATTGAGGAAGGCTGATATGAATTCTTTTTGTAAAAAATCTCTATTAAATATATATTGCTAGGATATTTTAGGAAAGAACCATTTTCTTTTTCATACGTGTCAATGCCACATGGGACTGAACAAAATAACTTTTTGTGATAAATATTTGTTCAGCAATCCAGAGGAGCTTATGACAGCCAACTTTAGTTTTACAAAGCAATTTTCTTAAATTGCTCAGTATCTTAATGTTTTTTAGAAGATCTTCCTTGTTCTGGTATCCCTTGCTCTCAATATTCCACCTTTCATTTTTCTAAATAAATTTTAGCAGGTTTCAGAAGAGAGGGTGTGAGATGATTGTAGTAACTATCAAAATAGGTATATGGCTAAAGGAAGTATGTACTGAGCCACAATATTTGTTGACTCTGGTGACTTGTATCAAGAAGTGAATATGTGAATATCCGATATATAGTGAATAAAGTATGGCCTTCTGATGCAGTACTATAACTTCTAGCATCCTGTATGTTGATCGTATTAGTTATGGCTGTTAAAAACTGTAGTTCAACAAATGGAGGGCTATGCTTTACTAACCCATGCCATCTACAGAAAAAGCAATTATCTAATTCTTAACCTTGAAATTTAAAAAGTGTAAAATATTTTGGACCTATATGTACCTTGATAAGTTTGTGAAGCTATAATATTTACTAAAAAAACCCCTTTCTGTAATCATGTTATGGTGTATGATGATCTGTTTTTAAGCATTCTACATTATGCAGGATGATCAAGTGGTGAACGTATGTCTCCACAAATTTTTAATTTACCTAGAGGATTAGATCTAAATTAGTTTAACCTGGATACCATTATAAACAATGGAACAAGTTAAACAAAACAAGTCCCATTTATTTCAGTGGGTGTTAATTGCAATTAAGTGTATGAATCCAGCCTATATTTATTGTACAATGTTCATGCAGAAGATAATGTGTGATTTTTATAAATGACTTGAAAGGGGCATTTTATATAGCATGGTATGTTTATTTAAGAGTTTTTGAATATCTCACAACTAACTTTCATAATCTCTTCGATGTTCAGAATGCTTGGTTAAATACAGTTGTTCCTCTTGCATGTTACTTACTGATATTATTGAAGTACATTTCCTTCCTTTGGCTAAAGTTAGATATGTACGTAATTGGTTCATTAAGTGGTTTTTGTCTTAAATGTATTCATTAAATTTGATTTCATTTAAAATGTGTGGAGATTATCTCTCATTTCAAGTATAAATACAAAAACATGAAGACAGCAGCATAAATGGTTGCGGGATCTACAGTAATTCTTGGATATTTTCAGTGGATAGTTTAAGGATAACAATCCTTACTGGCAAGGGGAAGCAGAGAAGAAGTAAAATCAAGTGAAATGGCAATAAATGTATGCTGTATCAGAGCCATTAAATTAGGCTATACTGTTTTAGTCAGTACCTGGAACATGTCAAGATGTATTCATGTTTCTACTTACATGGCAACTGACATAATCACTTAAATATCTAACAGCTGCCCATTTCAAGCTTAAACTTCTTTTTGTTTTTGCTTACCTGATACCATCAGACAAACTGTATCTATGTAAAATACTCAACCAGATCAGTTAAAGACTGACTATGAAGGACACAGGGCACTTGGACTGCAGAAGCTCAGATTCAATTGTATCTGCTTAGCTATGGAAGTCTGACAGGTGATTTGAGCCATCATTCTCAGACCTATTTCACAAGGTTGTTATTGAGGGGGGAGTACTATTACATCTGCTTTAAGATCCTGGAGAAAAAGCAAAATATCTTGCAAATAAAAAATAAACTTGAAGGTACCACACTGAGACTGAAACTAGAAATAAGTCAATTGCAGATTGCAGACAATAGAACTTGTATTTTATTATTATAAAAAAAATGTATAAAAATATACTTACATATCTGTGTCCAAAGAGATACTTAGGAGAATTCTGCAAATATAAATGTATTACTAAGCATAAATATAAAAGCATACCACTGTCGCTTTAAAATGCAGATTTTTTGATTCTCTGAAATCTTGCAGCTCCTTTAAAATCATGTCTGAATCTGGCTACACTCAATCCATGCACAAAATTAATTATTTCAATGGGTTTACAGTAGGCTTAAAAATAAATGCCAGCTATTTTAATTGTTACATATTAATCTATAAAAGAAATTTACAACTTTATAAATGGACAAAAATGCTGAACTTTACTAATGCACATACCAAGGAATATAGATTTGCTACCACATGCCACATCATAGAAATGCCACAGGCACAGGACATTGTGCAACTCAATCCCTGGGTGCCTTTGGCTAATCATTGTCTCTTTGATTAACTTCTTTGCAGGGTCATGCACTTTATATGCATAATATAACTGAGCTTCAACAATCAGGGCAACCATCTAATAACACATAGAAACACAGAATATGCTTAAATTTTTGCTAGTAGTTCTTCAGATTTTTGCATTCAGACATGGTCTAGTTGGTATACCTTTTTATTCTGAAGGAAGCCTGTAGATTGCACATTAATATTTATGAAATAAAGCCTGGTCACATAGAATTGGCACATACATTTAAACTCTAAAGCACTGTTTCTCAAATTTGGCGACTTTAAGATGCATGGACTTAACTGCCAGAATTCCCCATCCAAACTGAGTCAAAGTCCACACAACTTAAAGTTGCTAAGTTTGAGAGAAGCTGCTTTAAAGGATGTTCTGTTCGAACATCCCAATGTTTCTAATTATTTTGACTTACTATTTAATTTCTTTACAATCAAAAACTGTAGACCGGGAGGATTAGTACGGGGTAAATAAACTCTGCTCTTGGTGAAATAGTTCCGTTCAAGGAGCCTGAATTACACCCACGGACAACAATAGGCATCTAATTCTGATCAAGCGCTTTCATTTGCTCACGACAAATAAGCTTTAATAGGTTATTGAACGGAACTTCTTTTCAGTCGGTGAGTTGCAGAGGGGACAGATTTGAAGAATACACGCATGCGCTTATACCCAGGAAACGCTGGGTCTGCAGGGCAAGCGTTCTGCAGCATGGATGCGGCGGAGTTGGGAGCTTTTACTCCCGAGCAAGCGGCGGCTCCTGTAAATAAGGTGGAGGTGAGCGAAAGCAGCGGGACCAAAACAGAAAGCGATTGTGGACCTGAAGCTTTTTAAACTTGCAGACAAAAAAATGAGAGTAAATCTAGTTTCAGAGGCTTCTGATTACAATTTCATTATATAAGTACTTTTCTGACCCTCTTTTTACTATTGGATATAAAAGCGACATTAGTCACTCAGTAAGATGAAGCATAGAATAGGTAGTTACACTAAGTCAGACCCTCTTTCCTTCTCAGCATCCTGGTGATTAGAAAAAGACTCAATCTCCTGATAAGTAGGGCTATCCTTGATAGAATTCTCGGTTTTCTAAGACAAGAAATCCAAAGATTGATTTAAAAAAAATAATTCGGTGGATTAGTAGATTTGCTAGTATTAATGTTCCTGTATATAATACTATATTCCCAAAGCAGTAGTTTTTAATTCATCTCCACTTTTGACTGTAAGTGTGGGGACTAGATGCTATTCTTGTCTCCCATATTTCTCTTTTTAGAAACCAGAAGTTCTGGAAACTTTGTTGGAACTTGAGGAAGCCCAGATAAAACAGCTGTTGCTTCAACCAGTATTGGTATTTTGTGTTTGATCAGAGCAGCTTTGTTTCACCACTGAAGAAAGATGCTAATGGGTGCTTCAGTAACTTTAGGTGCTTGTTCATCTCTCACATACATGCATTTTACCTGTGATCTTTCTTGACAAATTCCTATCAAAGTAAGATATTTAAATGGTATAGTAGAGCATTAATAGAAGCAATAATGGAAGAACCTAATGGGAGATTTGATTTGCCAAAGTAAGCCAATATTTCCAAGAATTTTGGTTTACTAGGAGTGCGTCAGTATGTTGCTTAATAACTTCTCCTTGACTTTAGATTTCTGATTCTAGCCAGAATCTCTGGTTTGCAGTTCATGATATCCTCCATGTTTTATTTAGCCCTCCATTTGATAGCACAAGCCATTTAGAAATAGCCAAGAAATGGAGTCCAACATTCTAGCTCATTCAGAGACAGAAACTTTGTTTCAGTCATTGGCCAATAAAAGTCAATAAAAGAAAGCAAAGTTAACCCTTAATATCAATGAGTATGGCAACGATTTGTGAGTCCCAGTATGCTAGCTCATTTACAATAAACTGTTAGCTATTATATGTGAACAAGCTCCTCTTATATTTACATTTGTTTGAGGGCCATGATTTAACCTGTTTGTTAAAGTAGCATGGCTTGAAGATCCCTAGCTATCTTACTTAATAGAGAATTTTAAATCTTTTGAAAATCTGAATGAGAGATCTGATAGGAAGTCCAATTCTGTAGAATAAGAAATAAAATATAAATGTGTTAAACTTGCAATCTTATGTACCAATATTTATCTTAATCAAAAGTTCTGGCATCTAATATTACAACATGTATCTAATACCTTCTAGATACATGTAATAAATGTATCAGTACATATTACCATGGATAAAGCAATAATGATAAAACTATTAAAAAATAAGTTACCTATTTTTCTTTAATTTATATTCCACATTTTTTTGACTCTTTTGACATTCTTTTGTTTTCAGGAGAAATGGAGACTACTTCCAGCTTTTTTGAAGGTTAGTAAAAAGTATGATCAGAGTAGGGAAATCTTTACCTTTTTTTACAAAGTAATTATATATAGTTGCTGGTTTTACTCAGTTGTTGTCTACAATAATGAGAAAATACATTTAAAATACAAATGCACTTTGTTATTCCTTCATCCGGAGTGCTAATTCTTCTGTAATATCGTGTTTTGCATAATATTACATCTTTTCTTTTTAATTTTACTCTCTCGGGTATTGCTGCCTTTGTGGTAACTTCAGGTACTGGGGAAATAGAAATACTGTTGGGACCAAATAAGGCAGTGGCTATTTGGTGGGAGGCTGCAATCTGCCTAGAGCAGGGGAGAGACTTAGGAGGGATGATTCCCCTTCCCTCTTTAGAGGTTGTATCCTGACCCAAGAAGTGTGTGTAAGTGGGAGAACCCCCCGCCCAATGGAAATACCTTGCTCCTTAACTCCAAGTCAGTTGCTGCTCGGTGCTTGTTATTCCCCTCTGATCTGGGGTGAAACCACTGACTGGCATTTATTAACAGTCGATGTGGGTAAGTGCTGAATTATGGTTTAATTCACCTTTCCATTTGTATTAAGAGTTATGCCTGGTGGTAGCATAGGCCTGCTTAAGTCATGAAAACATGTTTTGCATAATCTTTTGCTGCCTGAAGCATTGAATTTGTACTGACCTTTTTGTTTGACAACAAACAGGCAGTTGTTTTCAGGTCCTTTATGACTTGGCACCTCTCTCTGAATGGGCTGCTTAGATTTGGGGCACCTGGTTTATGGGAAAGCACCTTCTCTGGGGTGGCTCCCGGGCTGTGAAACACCAACCTTGTGATGAAACATACTACCGTAATATAATATATACAGTATACTATATGTACTTATTATACAAGGTAGATGTAAACGTCCATACATATTGCATAGTGCACGCTATAAAACTAATTTTCACCTTGCCAGGATGGCTGAATTATTTATGCAAAACCAAATTGATATTTTAAGTAATTTAAGATACTACGGAAACCCTTCAAGTAACATTTCAAAGTATCAAATAAATGAGATTTAAGCAGTTCAAAAGTTCTGTGTTTGTTTTCACTGAAGATAATCTTCCTATTTTAGGTAAAAGGACTTGTAAAGCAACATATAGATTCATTCAATTATTTCATCAATGTAGAGGTAAGCCATTTTGTTTTATTGAATATTAAAGCCTATAAGTAGTCCTTGACCTACAGCCGCAGTTGGGACTGAATTTGTCATAAATCACTGCCGTCATAAGTCAAGTTAGACTCAGTTTTACAATGTTTATTGTGGACATTAAATGAATCACATGGTTGTTAAGTGAATCCAGGTTCCCCAGTGGGTAAAGTCACAAATCATAATCATGTGGCCACAGGATGCTGCAACTGATGGTAAATGTGAGCCAATTGCTAAAAATCCAAATTTCAGTCAGGTGACCATGGGCGTTTTGCAACAATTGTAACTGCAAGTACAGATTGTAAGTCACTTTTTCCAAGACTATTTTAACTTTTAATTATTGTTAAATGAACAATCGTAAGTCAAGTACTTGTATAGCATATCCTTCAACCTATGTAAACCTTCTTTCATTTTCAGATAAAGAAAATAATGAAAGCCAATGAAAAAATTACAAGTGATGCTGATCCAATGTGGTATTTAAAGTAAGCCTAAATTTTATTCTGATTGTAGCGTGAATAACCTGAGCCTCAACTTCCATGGAGGCTTTTGTTTAATCCATAAAATCTGCCGCAAAATCTTATATGAAATGCTGCAGATGTACAGAATAACATATGATATAATTGATTTAGCTAAGATGGATTAATAGTAATATGGTTTTACTCCAAATAGATTTAATGAAAAAAAACTTTTTTTCTTGTGGTTAAATATTTGTAGTATTTAGTCTGATTTTTCTAAATATTCATAATTAATTTTAGTAAATAGAAATCTAGTAATATTAAACATGAACTACATATTTGATAGTTGATTCATATTCCATTTTTAATTATTTTTATTGGATTTTATCTTGCAGATATCTCAATATTTATGTGGGTACTCCAGATGTTGAAGAAAGCTTCAATGTAACAAGACCTGTTTCTCCTCATGAGGTATGAGCTTCTCTTCAGCACTTCATTTTGAAAATTATTTGACAACTATTAAATTAGAGTGAGTTTACAATAAGCTCTCAGTTAAGGAGAGGTGATCTATTAAAGTAGAATGATAGTGTACATAAATGTAAAAGATTTTTCTGCATATAATATTTGCACAGATTTTAACCATTGCATCTGAAATCCACTAAACCAACTACTGCAGGGATGTCAAACTCAATTTCACTGAGGGCCGCATCAGCATTGCAGTCGGGGGGCCGGATGGGTGCGGCCTACTGGGTGGGCATGGCCAGCTCTACATCATTCGCGTCAAGGGTGCCTGTGGGGGCCTGGGCAGGAGTGGGACAGATCTGAGGGTCTCTGGCAGAAGGGGGTAGGACCGGGGTAAGCGCCAAGGCATGGTCCATTTCTTCATTCCTCACAAAGGGTGACACCTCCCCAGCATGCACCCAGGGGGCGGGGCCGATGCGGCAGGGGCTGGTTCCTCGCTGTTTCCGGATGGCTTGGTGGAGGTAAGACTGAATGTGTTTCAGCATAGTTGGCCACCACAAAATTGTACATTGGCTCCTGGCTGGCCTGGGCCAGGGCCATGGCAGCAGGGGCCATTCCCTCACTGTTTCCAGGATGGCTTTGTGGCCACATGAAACCACTTCACAGGCCGCATCCCGGGCCTTGTGTTTGACATGTCTGAAATACTGTAATACTTTAGTTTACTATAATAGTATAGTTTATTCTCATGCTATCTATATTGCTATCGATAAAATCCTAGCAGTTAAAAACATGGTGGTCTCTGAGAAAAGCATTGAAGGAATGTTGATGGCTTCCCCATATGGAATTTTTTTTTTCCTTTTAAGTGTCGCTTGAGAGATATGACTTATTCTGCCCCAATTACAGTGGACATTGAATATACTCGAGGCAGCCAAAGAATTATTCGTAATGCATTACCCGTTGGCAGGTAAGAAACTAAATTAACCTTAGTTAACACATAACAGAATATAGTTAGGAACTCGGCTTGATAATGGGCATAACCTTGATCTGAACAGGTACCAAGGTTACAATTAGCATTTTATGGATAAAAGTTTGTTTGTTTGTTTGTTTGCTTATAATACTGGTCATTTTCACCTAAGTGTAAAGCAGAGACATTATATTAGTCTAGCACTTTGAATTTAATCTACCTTAGCATTAGAACACTCAGCTTAATCCTACCTAATGAAACTTCTACCTGTGGTCAGATAGTAACTTGAATCCAGCAAAAGTTGCAATAGTGGGTCTCTACCTCCAGGAATAGAATGTCATAGCTAAGGCAGGGTCTAGGCTTGAACTATTCTTTGTGACTATCCTCTTAATCACAGAAACAATTGTATTGAGCCAGGGGTTTTTGGAAGTTGGTTACCTTGTGGATGGCAGGTCCTTCACAACCTGACTTCATACTGAAGTCAAGTACCAGTATAGCCTCTGTTTCTGCTATAAAGAAATTAGATTTTATATGGATTTGAATTCATGTGGCATGCTGAAAAAAGGTAAAGAGAGCCAGTGTACTGTAGTGATTAAGGTGCTGGCCTAGACACCAGAGAGTGAGTGAGAAAAGTAGGAGCAGGAACAAGTATTCTGTATGTTCACTCTTTGAGTTACTATAGAATAATAAAGACAGGAGAAAAATAAATGAAAAATGTATCAATGTGTCAAACAAAATTTTTGGTGATATGGGGGCAGTAGATTCATAGTCTGCTAGTATGGTCAATATATTGTCTGTTCAAAAATACTTCTCTGAGCCGATTTTGGTGGGCTCTTATATTATTAATGTGGACCTTATGCATTTTAAAAGACAAAAAAGATTATGCTGGTTTGCTCTTTGATTTTGTTAAGCTTCAAGGCATATTTAAAGAACTAAAAGAGTATGTCAGTTTGTACATAGTGCTTTGCCTGTTGTGTTTTGTTGATGAGCTGCTAGTCCATTTAAATGCTGATATTGTACTGGCAAAATACTGGAAATGAGTGATGGTCAGTATCTTTCATTTTGCTTTTGTAATGCTAATGAATGCTATTCGTGCAATTAAGAAGCACTAGCAACCTTTTCTTGTTTGTAACCAGCAGCCACCTTAAAGCAATTAGAAAAACAAGGGCAACAAAGATAGCTGAGACACTCACTTTTTGTTGGGTGTTACACTTAGTAGACAGGTGACAAAATCCTCATGTCCATCTGCTATAGGGGATTGATACTGATGACTGTTGGCTGTGCAACCCAAGTTGCATATCTTGTTTATAGTACTTTTGCATCATGTGAGTTGATTGCAAGTAGCGATTGTGCTTTGGGGGAATAGGTCTCAACTTGGAGATCGTATTCCAGTCTGGTTTGGATTAACATCAGTGGAGAGGAAACAAGATTTAAAATTTTTTAGCATGAGAAGGGTCTCTGATTTGATTGGCCCTTTTGGATCTTGAGTCTGTGTGATGGGTAGATAATTAAATAAAAAAATGCAATTAAAATCTTTCCTGCAACGTCAATTCTAATATCAATATGCCCTGTAGCATTATTACAATTTTGTTTTATTGTCAAATCAAGAGTAAATAGTTACTCTTGATTCCTACAAATTACATGCATTTTCTTTCCTATTTTCATTTCAGGCAATTTAGCTTAAGTACTTGCGCAGCTTTGAATGTATATCCATATATTTTTATTGCATATGAAAACAGTTCTTTCTGCTTTCTGTATCTTGTTCCTCTGGGATATTGATGCCAGATTGCATATATATAATTTGATTTCTCTGTACTAAATGAATGAACTTTCTAAATCAACAACTCAGTAGTTAGGTTACAGATAGTCTCATTTATCGCCTGCCTCATTTATTGATCATTTGCAGTTATGACAGTGATGAAAATTTAACTTCATGATTAATCCTTGTGTTTCAGACCTTTGCAGAGCTATAGTTTTTAAGCTGCACAAATAATTATTTTTTAAACATAGAATGGTTGGCACAGCATGATTGTAGCCATGCTATGGAAATACCTATAACATAAAGGAACTCCTGCATTTATGTTAGCAGGTTAATTCAGGTTTTATGATGTAGTAATTTTTTGTATCACTATTGCTGGTATTACAGTCAAATAGAAACCATGCTTGACCCTTGCTTATTTAGCTAAAGAAATTCCTATATTTGCATATATTCACTGCATTGATGCAAGCATTTCTAATCTAAAAACAGTTGTGAAATATGAAAAGCTGCAAGAGAAAGTTATAAAGAATATAAGATATATTCATATCTCATTATTCAGTTTCCTGTTTATAGATCTCCTAAGGCCTACTTGTTATAAGAACTGTATTTGTAACAGTCCAAAAGGACTGATATAAATTGATTTGGTAGGTAAAGATCAATAAAGTTGCTTCTTTCTGCATTGCATGATTGGCTGCCACTAATATAAATAATATTAACATGATCCAAGTCATAGTCGATCTATGATAATGCTTTGCCTTGACAATGAAATAGGTCACTTCTCTGCTCATATATAAATACAAAAATGTTGTTTATTATCTGAAACTACGAAAAAAGACCTTAGCTATCACAATTATTACCTGGCTTACTGTTTTTCCAGTGGTATTTAGGTGATCTGTCAGAAGACCAGCTGATAAACCGTTAATTTATGCTATTTTTTTTCTTATAGGATGCCAATAATGTTACGTAGTTCCAATTGTGTTCTCACTGGGAAAACTCCAGCAGAATTTGCAAAGCTTAACGAGTGTCCTTTAGATCCAGGTTCCAAATTTATTTTCTAATATTCTTTGCTATTTTGGTTAAGCTTTGATTTCTTTTAAGATAGTCATTACTAAGATTTTGCAATCATGAATTAATGTGTAGTCTGAGATTTTGCAGCTCAAAGCTGCAGTAATGAAAACAATTACTAAGTGTCCTTTCAAGGAAAAAGCAGCATCAGTGGAAGTGGTATTTCATACAAGCGATTTACTTGTATTCAAATCCCTAATATTCCTTAAATTTTAATTAGCATATTTATATAGCTGTTCATCTCACAAACATGTGATTCTGGGCAGCATACAACACAACAACAGTGGGCTCATGTAGGTGTTAAATAGAAATGAAGAGAGTACCGAACCCTGCAGAACCCCACAAAATAAGGGTTAAGGATGGGACCTCTCACTCCCAACTGACTGACTGGAACTGGCCCCACAGAGAAAGCAAGTGACCTAGAACAATCCTCTGCCACCCAGTCCCAGTCCATGAAGCTGGCTCAGAAGGATACCATGGTAAATGGTATCAAAGGCCACCAGGAAGTCAAGAAGAGATAGATATACTACCCCTCTCCCACACCTATCAGAGAACATCTAAAAGAGTGACCAACGACATCTCCATCCCATATCCATATCCCGACTGAAAGGAGTCCAGGTTTATCCAGGGATTTATTATCTTGCTGAGGGTTTAGGAAATTCCAAATGCATATTTCAAAATTGTATAAATCTTAATTAGATTTCAGCACCTGAATAAACAAATATTCATTTTCTATTTGGTAGGCGGCTACTTCATTGTCAAAGGAGTGGAAAAGGTCATTCTTATCCAAGAGCAGTTATCAAAAAACCGAATAATAGTGGAAGCTGACAGAAAAGGAACAGTTGGGGCATCAGTTACCAGGTAGGTAAAAGAATTATTGAATAATTATCTCTTATGTTAAGCTTGACTGGAATTTAGAAAGTTATTTTAGAATTATTCAAGAACTTGGACATGTTGGGGACAGGTTCGTTTCAAATACTTCCCAACATAATATCCTAACACAAATAATCTTCAATATCCTTCACATCCACTTTCATCCTTCAGCCTCCCATTTAACATTCATTCACATTTCTTTCTCAGCTCTCTTGGTGCTCTTGATCCACTATCTGTCCCTCATTCACTTTCCCTCTCTTCTTCGTTGCCATTCTCTTTCCTTTTCTAATCAACAAAGACAAGTCCCACCCATCATCCAACCTCTGGCATGATTGTCTCCAAATCCAACTGAATCACATAGTCTGCCACCAGCTTCTGTTGCTTGGCTTTTTTGTCTGGCTAACCACTGGCCAGTCTCTCACTGACAAGCTGACTGGCAGCTCACTATGATTGTTCTTGCTGCCCATCAAACCTTTTAGCTATTCCTGGCCTGGCAGTTATAGTTAGCAAAACCTGTCCTCTGTCTGTGTCATCTTCTCATTGAGCACAGCTCAGAGAAACAGTTGATACAGTAGCTCATTTTCATTTTTTAACAGGAATCTATTTTGGGGCTATGAAATTCCAAATATACAAGAAGTCTTTGGACTTTTTCCTCTCTGAATAAAAAGTATAAATATTAATACTATATTCCTTTTTTCTAACTAATGCCTAGCTCTACGCATGAGAAGAAGAGCAGAACAAATATAACTGTGAAGCAAGGAAGGTTTTATCTGAAGCATAACACCCTTTCAGAAGATATTCCTATAGCAATAATCTTTAAGGTATTCCTAATAAACACCATAGTAATATTATTCTTAACTTCAGAAATTTGAAAAATTATTTAAAACAATGTGAGAACTTTAGTTTTGTGTGTATAAGTCCACTGATTTTGTTTAGGTCTACTGTTTTTTATCCAGCCTTTTCCAACCAAAGACTTTTTAAAATGGGTTCTGACTGCAGTTCTCAGAAAATACCTGGAGAAAAGGCTGCTTAGCAATGTACTCCATAGTGTAGAGTTTGAAAAACACTTTTACTCATTGGTTTTGAACACTTGGCTTGCATTTGGACATTGTTAGAATGTTCATACTGTTCTGTCCTTTTGTCTCTTTATAAGAGGAGAACAGAAATACAACTGAAGGAGAAAATATCTTGAGTAGGTGGAAAAAAAAGACATGAGTGAGAAAGGAGAAAAAATGTAAAAGGATGTGGCACAAGACTGGGAAATATGGTACTCTTTTATATCTTCCTTATTGCTTGCCTGCGTCTCTTAAAAGTTGACTTACTAAAAGCAAAGCATCTATCTCTAACATCAGATCTATTTGTGATCCCAAAAAGGTGGTGACAAGCACTATTTAGGTTCTGCTATGTGGGTGTTTTTTGCCTTGCCAGGCTCCCTAGGGCATCCATTTTGTGAACAATAAAGTTTTCTATAACTGTTATTTTGTGACTGTGATCATCACAAGCTCTCAAAATTCTAGATATAGTTCCAGATCAAGAAAGGTTGCCTATTTGTAAGAGAGTGAGTAACAAGACCTGACGATGACAGATAATTGCCAATGCCAGTACACACTGATCAGATTTTTGAGCCCTTTGATTGGAAATTTGTTATTAACTGTTTATGAGACCGTTTTAATGCCATAATCTTATATCTTTTAGATGTGTTGTATTACATCTCAGATTTGAAAAACATTGCCAGAAGAGGGCAGTGCTTGATCGCAATACAACAACCAAAAATGGGTTGGAGTGTGGGGCTGCTTTGAAATGTTATCTTTAGGGATTTTTCGGTTTTAATACTACATAATTTATTCCTGATAAGAAAAATCTTTCAATTCATTTTGCCAGATTAATTGTTTGTTCACATACATCAGAGAAGGTCATCAAATGTTCTGATAGCATGTCACTTTATTATTCACTTTGTGTGTTAATAACTATGTATTTAAATTTTAACTTTTGTGCCACATGCTATATTTTTCCTTAAAGCAAACATTTCTTAGAGCAGCATATGTGCTTAAAACTGTCTGTCTGAATAGCATTTTTAATATAGGAAATGGATAAATATTTTGCTGGCAGTAGGATATTAAGATAAGAGCAGGTTGTCTGGAGCATTTAAATGGTACACTACAGTAATACAATCCTGGTTATAGTATCATGCTTTGGATTTGGCTTGCAAAACATTTGCAAAGAAATTGTCACTATGGTATCTTCATTTAGTAATTATTTGAAATAAATGTTTATGTTTATATTTGTGTCATATGTGAAGTAGCAACTAACCTTTAGATAGTAATATTTTCATATAGTGATTTGCAAACCTGTCTGTCTAGTCTAAAAACAGATTATTTATACTCTCATAAAACCCCGAACAATCCTAAGCTCTTTGGGGAAATTTGTTAGCAACAGCCCATCTTTTTTGGATGAGTGTGAGATATAAATGCTGTACCAGTGAATAAGGATGAAATAATATATGATAAAATAATTTTCTCAAAATTATTGTTACCTGACACTTAATATGTAGTTTTTTTAAGAACTGTAATATACATTGATAACCTTTAGAAATCCTTTGAACATTTGGAAGTGTTCTTTCTCATATCAGATATCCGCTAATAGTTGGTCAGTTTGTTGGGGACTAGATAAAAATAGCTTTTCATGTTAAGGGATTTATTTTTAACATGATCTCTGCCACATGTTCACTAGCAAATCATCTGAATGATGGCTTGGTGGGTTCTCAGCTACAGGCTAACCTGAGAGGAGCAGATTACCTTGACCATTTCAAACTAGCTCTAGAACAAACTATAAAGTTGACACAACCTAGGTCAGTTTGAGGATCAATAATGAGAATGTGTTTCTGTTGCTTCTCATAACCCTCTCAGTAGCTTTGGCTAGTATTTTTTCTAGATAGCCTGAGACAATTGGAAATGGCTTTGTAGTGGTTCTATTACTATCTCACAGGTAAATTTTAGATGATGTTCCTTAGAGATAGTTGCTCTTCAAAATGGGAGCTATTATATGGTGTTCCTTGAGAATCCTTTCTGTTGCCAATGTTTTTCAAAATAACACTGCTGGATATGATCAACATGATACCCAAATCTATTTCTCTGTAACAGGAAATGATTTAGCTCCTCTAAATGCCTCTCTGTAGTTACTACTGTGCTGGGCTAGAGATAACAAATTAAAATTGAATTCAGACAAAATGTTTGTTGCAAGAAGCCATAATTGTGGGGGCAGGGGTGTAGATCTGCTTGTAAATGGAATTACAGCCTCCCAGAAGAACTGGGTATATGCATTGGGTTGCTTCTGGATGCAACTTTCCCTGGTTTCCCTGACATAAAATAGACAGAGCACTTTTTAATAGCTTTAGTTGATCAACTAACTACATCTCTCTCTGAAAATTGATAATATAACCTCCATTCTTCTCTACAGTAATTTCATTTATGTGGTGTTTGTATCTAACCTAGAAACTTCAGTGAAACAAAATTCAGTATAGTACTGTAGTTAGATTGATCTTGGGAAGAATGTGAAGTGATCACATATTTTGTGCTTAAAGCATTTACCAATTACTAACTTATTTGGGGCAAAATACAAAGTGCTGGTCATTACCTTTAAAGCTCTACACGAGTTAAATTCTGGTAGTTTAAGAGAATGCCACATACAAGAACCCCTTTCTTGCTAAGAGAATCTATGCAGATTCACTGACAATTTCTGCAAGTTCACTAGAGAAGTATCTCCTCTGTTGTTGCCTTAGCTTTTTAGAATGTCTTCTCTGCAAAGTTGAATGGCTAACAATTGTATTAGTTATTAAAAGACCTTCAGAAGAAATCTTTCAGTACAGCATTTGACCAAAGTTTTTCTAAAATTTAATTTTAACCGTTTACTTATTATAAGTATTTATTTAAATCATTACTGTAAATGTAATCAATATTTTAATTGTAACATAGTTTTTACTACACACTGCCAAGAAATAAATATTTTCTAAATTCTGAAGTCTAGCCCACGTTGTCAGTAATAATTAAATCTTTCAGGGGTTTTGAGATGGCCCAAGGTAAACCTGCAGGAAAAGAGAATTACTCAAATGCTAGAGGCAACTATCTCCCAGCCCATGTGGTGGCAACAAACAAAAAGTAAAACTAACAGCCTGTAAAGGAAATCATAGGAGAATCAAACACATTTTTAAAGAAAAATAAAGAACACCATCTAATATATTGAGGTAGGCAGTTCTACTTATTCCATTGCCACCAAGAAAGCCCCTTTCTTCTGTTGCTATTTGAGGGCAATGCTGCAAACAAGAAGGGCTCTTAAGTGAGCAGCTCCAAAATATTTAGACCCCCCCCCCTCAATGTTGTTAAATCCTAACTACTGTTGTGTTGTTTTATATGCATTTTTGACACAGTGTAATTCCAAGCAGACATGTGAAAGCAGAAGCTTTAACATTATCTGCAATTCACAAAGATCTGCACTGCTGTCTGCCAGTTTGAAACACTATTTATAGAGAGATTTGGGGAGATTTAAAATCTGAAAAGCTCATTTATATTGTAAGCCCTTTTTTTTCAATATAAAATATAATCTGGTGCTTATGAACTTCTGAGAAAAAAACAAAAGAACACGATTCTAAGGATAGCATTATGTGTGAAATCCTAACCTTCTATTTTTTGTAAGATTTGACTCATTACCAATACTCATTAATATTGCATCACAAAGAAATAGAGCTGGCTCCACTTCGTTGGTGGAGACAATACGTAAGAATGGCAGGTAACGGTAAAGAGGGCAGGTTATAGTTCTATATCTTAATTTCCTACCATTAGTATGGAATGCTTTTAAAGTTTCTGGTTTTTGTTTTCTTTTTCTGTGCTTTCCCATGTGTATCCTGCATTCTCCATGGGGGCAGGTCTACGCTTGCTAAGTATCCGCTGTGGCGTTTGTACGCCATGCACCTACCCAGTGCTGTAGTAACAATCCAGGTTCCTCTTCCATATGAAGCAGTGCTCAGAGGCAGGATTTGGTAGTCTTCAGTAATCCCACTTGAAATGCAGCTACTCCTGAGAAAGGGAGGTGCATATTGCGAACTTGATCAGTAATAACTTTATACAACCTTATTGGATTGTGTATATACAAGCCCCAATTCCTGTAGCTCTTCAGCTAGTTTATTCTGCTGCAGTTGTCACTTGCTATTTATTGAGAAAATGTATGAAGTTTCTTCTTTATACATCAGCCAATAACTTTCTAGTAAAAAGATACTGTCTCAACATTCATCTTTCTTGCTTTCAGTGCTGCTTATCAAGATTTCCTTTTGATGAGTAGGTGCCTCTGCCAATGCCAGATGGTCCTATTTCTGAGAGAACTTGCTTTTGCTTAAGCCAGTGTTTCCCAAACTTGACAATTTTAAGGCATGAGGACTTCAACTCCCAGAATTCCACAGCTAGCAACGCTGGCTGTGGAATTCTGGGAGTTGAAGTCCACATGCCTTAAAATTGTCAAGTTTGGGAAACACTGGCTTAAGAGTTTACTGACTACAATACCAAATTAGCATAAGCAAATGTCAGTGAGTTAACAGAAAGCCAACATTCTTTCTCTCCTTTTCTACCTTTTATTTCTTTTCCTCCCTCTGTAGGCCATGGGGGTTGAGAGTGACCAAGAGATTGTGCAGATGATTGGAACAGAAGAGCACGTGATGGCTGCGTTTGGCCCCAGCTTGGAGGAATGCCAAAAAGCTCAGATTTTCACACAGATGCAGGTGTGTGATATTCAAGCATCCATCTATGGTGCATTTGTAATGAAAATGGGCTTTTTAACCCGTTCAAAAAGTAGTGAGTAGCAAGAAGATGCATTAGTAGATCTTTTACTTGTCACTCCTCTTTGCTTAATTAGGTCAGGAGAGTAAACCCATAACCAAAGGCCTGTAGAATATCTAAGAGTTGATTAGAAAGGTTGAAATAATAAATCTCTGAATTGCTCCATTAGGTGGCTAATGAAGTTTATTCTTTGTTCTAGAATAGTAATATATTAAACTTGTGTCATATAAATGGTAGTAGGGGTAACATTTTAAAATATCCTACCAAAATCTGAAATAGCACAGTACATACTTAATGAAACATTTGTCCCATCCAAATTACTTTGATAGGTAGGAAAAGTCTAGCTCATATAGAGTATTTTGACCTCATGAATGAGACTTAGCAGATTTACTGAAATACCTGATATGAAACCAGACAAGCAAAATAAAAGCAAATACATAAAGATGTTGCCTTATATTTCAGATTACAAACTGTTTTAACAATCCTTTAATATCAGAAAAAGACAATATGATCAAATGCAAATGCTGAGCCTTTTAAATGGAAGCTATCTACTGCATAGTTAGAAAAAGAGATGCGTACCCATTCAGTGTTAAACTTAAGCTAGGTGATATATTTCCTTAGTTGTAAGGGATTAATTTAAAATAACAGAGCGTAACAGAGTAATTGTACTGCTTAGCCATTTCTACCCCTCACCTGTTTAAAATAACCTTGTCCTGCTCTCTGGTTTTGCTTTTCAGCCAGCCTGGTTCTGGCTTGTTGACTTCCTTGTAAAATAAAACATCTCAATAAATACTGAATTTCCACAAGGGGAGAAAAGTACATTGAAAATGATTTGTGACATGTACATAATGATGGCAATAATGATTTTCAGCACACAATCTTTTTACTTCGCTTTGCAGGCATTGAAATATTTGGGAAATAAAGTCCGAAGGCAGCGAATGTGGGGCGGTCCCAAGAAAACCAAGATGGAGGAAGCAAGAGAGTTGTTGGCAACAACTATTCTTGCCCATGTGCCGGTAAGTGCTTTATTCTTAAACTACAGGATACCTTCCTACTTTGCAGGAATGACTATAGATGAAATTGAATTCAGGAAGAACTGCTGCTCCATTTATTATTAATAGCTTCTGGTGATAGTTTATATATACAACTACTTACATACCACCCTGCTTCATAAAACTCAAGACAATACCAACTATTGTTAGGCACAAATAATCAGGATCAGGTGTTATGTTCAAAGTACTAAGAGTTTATTCTTGTCACCTATACACAAGACTCTTGAGTTACTAGCAATCCAAGCTAAATTGGTGCTAGATAAAGGTCAACAAAATTTGGCGGGGGGGGGGCTGCGCAGTGATTCTAAACTCATTATGCATTATAAATCTGCCCTCCAGCACAATATGCTCATCTCCTACATTTATAAAGCAACACAGCCAAAAGTAATTAAAATAATGTATATATAATTTTAAATAGGAACAACAGATTTAAATTATATTCCATTATTCATTCATTGTCAGTATTAATTGGTATCTTCATTTATAAATGTATGCAACAACCTATGGCTTTACATGCCTATGCAGATGAATTTACAGTCTATCCTGCAGAATAGATTGTTGATCCTGGGTGAGACACAAGGCAATCTTACTCAGAATTTTTGAGAGATATGTACATAATCTGAGACAGAGAGAAATCCAAGTATCTATTAAACCTGAAAAACTATCTGCCCATTAAATAAAATGTATTCTCCTTCCCAATATTACATGTAATAACCACTAAATTGTTATTGCCAGCAATAACAATAAAACCATTCATTGGAATGGTTTTACTGTTAATGATACACTGATCACATACTTGCAGCCTCTTTCCCTCCTGATTTTCTATCTCTTTTGTGGCTTGAAGACAGATATTTTGAACCCAGGACCAGCACTGTGCTCTGCAACATGTAGATATACTGTATTGTAAAAAGATAAAATTGGCCATATGTTGTTATAACAGAGTTAAGCAAAGTTAACCATAAGTTAATGATCAGGCAGTTATCTGGTTGGTAGTTTACATAACAATGAATGTATTGCTCTGAAATGACATTTTCTCCAGTACTCTAACTGTGGATAATATTGAGAACAATTGAAAGAGAGTTTCCAGAAATATACTGTGTACTGTCAGACCCATTCGCAGAAATTAGAAGCTTGGAGGGCAAACTGTGGTACCAGAAAACATGATGTAGGAATAGAGAAATAGCAGAGGGTAGGTCATGATAGGAAAGGAAGAAGGCATTTTTAAAAAGATCAGTTACAATCAAGGTGGTATCCAAACATTTAACGCATGATGGATCAGTTTTAAAGTCTAAGAAGAAGGTATCCCAAGGCCCTTGTAGAAAGGAGAGGCTATAGTGATAAAAGCAATTTATCCTAATGCTATTCATTCCTTCAAAATGCATGAACCTCCACATACCATGCCTAACAGAGGGTTAAAAAAAACAATCTAGAGACATTTTCATGCAAGGTACTGTCACTTAAGTTAACTTTCTCATTTTTGCTTTTTCAGGTAAAAGAATTCAACTTCCGCTCCAAGTGCATCTATACAGCTGTTATGGTCCGCAGGGTGATTCTAGCTCAAGGAGATAACAAAGTGGATGACAGAGATTATTATGGAAACAAGAGGCTGGAACTAGCAGGACAGGTAGATGCACCTTGAAGCTTAATAAAATTGGACTATGTTATTTTGCCTAATCCACCAGATCAAATGCACATAGTAATTTAATTTAAAGCGTTAGTGATGTGGTTGTGATATTTTCTTAACCAAATTGATGAAATAAAAATACTGTTCCTTGATTTAAAATGACAAGCCGTTTGCAAAAGATTGCCTTTCCATCCAACCAAAAAGATGTATTTTATTTGGCTGTTTCCCCCTTGCTCTCAAATGGGACATGCATGACTATAGCCGTAGGGTCCTAGAAATTGCCAGTTCCCCCAGAGTGAATTGCAGAGATAGATGCTGCAGTTGGGGTGTTTATCTCAATCTGAACCAACTGCAGAGTGGAGAGAGCCTTTGCATGACCTATGCTGATGTGGCTCTGGAATTCAGCAGAAAAGAAATCATAAATGCAAAAAGGACAAAACTGCCTTTCATTTCCTTTAAGGGACAGGGAGGAAGGGCAACTCAAATGTGGGCATTTAAAAGTAAAGGTCTCCTGAGTTTACACATCTGTTAATATAAATAAAATTCCATTTGTTTCATGATTGCTAAAAGAAGGAATATTAAGTTTTTGAACAGTGCTGTTTGCTGAATGGCTATTTGCCTTTTATATAGTAACTTCTAATTTTTTAGAAACATACTACAACGTTCTTTGTTGGTTTTTTAAAAAATATACTAGTAAAAAAGTACAATTCTATGTGTGTCTAGTTGATTAACCCTCTGCTTTATAGCAAATTAATCAACTATAATTTGCTTTAATTTGGTTACTCTTTCTTATGATGGCGCTTAGCTACAAATCATTATGGCAGTTTCAGGTCCAAATGAAATAGAATGATTTTTAAGTTAGAGCTTCATAAATAGTAGCATACCTCTATTGCATTATTAGTTATTTTAATATTTATAATCCTTTTGTAACTTGTAACATATATTTTGCATGTACGTTTCTGCTATTATTAACATAATGTCTGCATTATATCTGCAAAATAATAAAGCACCTTACTTTAAGCCTGTTACTCAGTGTTTTTAGTTAATTTTTCTGTCTAAATGGCTTTCATCCTTTAAAAAGCTGGCAGTGTTTCTGGACTAAAAATTCAGTTGCTTAAAAATTTGAATGAAAAGGGATTGATCCTGTATTAGGAGAAAAGCAGAACAGTCTGCACAATGTGAAGACATAAAAGGTATTGTGTCTATAAAAATGTGTGAAAACAATAGTAGCTAATTTCACACCCCATGGGACAAGGGAGCACGAAATGTGCTTTAGCTTTAGATAACAGTTGTTTCCACTAGCCAAGCTGGTTTACAGAGCTTTTTCTTCATTTTTTCAGCCCACAAGAGGCTTGGTAGGCCAGGTGCCAGCAGAGGTGTTAGCGAAACCTACCGACTCCAAGCTTAATCTTTTCACCTACCTTTTCTCTTTCCTTAATGTGTTCATTATTTGCCGAGCATTTCCCGCCTCTTTGTCCTCAGGGTTTGTTTGGCATTTTTTTCTTTCTCTCTTTCTAATTCAGCTTGCTTTGTATGGGTGAGATATGGAACAGCACCAAAATCCGGCACCCTGGAAAGGAAAGGATTTCTACCCTATGACAAAAGAAAACCGTCTTGACTTCAGAGATTGACTAATCCCAGCTGTTCTGATAATATAATTAAGGCTGCCTAATGTCTTTAATTTTGCAACCAGTTTGTGTGAAAAGGAGAATTTGGCACTCTAAAGCCTTAAACAGTAAATGGCAATCTCAAGGAGCCTAATTAGAATTCTCTGACATTAAGCTAATTGGTGAAATTCTATTTCAGCAGCTTAACTTCTTTATTAATTTTTTTTTCCTCAGGATTTTCCATGGAAATCAATTGATGAACTGTCACTTCTTTCCCTTATGCCCTCAACCACATTTGGATATAATTTTCTCCTAGTCCTCTTTTTGAAAGGCCTTGTGCTTGCAATGAAAATTTAATGATTATTATTGCTAGGATTCCATTCCATTCTGTGTTTAATCACTTACTCTTGATCTACAAAATAGGCTATCATGAATCTTTGCCCTGCTCTTAGGAATATATCTCTTTAGAATAAACAGAAGTCAAAAAAGTCACTCTAACTTTAGAATAGATTGGAACAGAAAAAAAAAATACTGCTGATTAGTGGAAACCATTTTGAAGTCAGTAAAAATTTATAGAGTGTTATATATTCTATATAGTGGATTATATATCTCCAGGTAAGACTTGAAAATAGTTCTGTCTGAAATCCTGGATAGTTACTGCCATTTAAGTGACTGAATTCACTATAAAACATGAAAAAGTTTGTTTTGCTAATATATTGTATGAAACCATTATGATTATAAATGACTCGCAAGTTATGAGAAACTCAATAACAGCTTGTAACAGTTGTTTTTTTTTTAAAAAAAGTTATACTTTAAAGTGCAATTTATAAAATCTGCAATATGCATAGTTAATAGTAAAGCAGTTCAGTTACTGTGCATTCAAAGTAATCTAGATTTTGAACCAAAATAAGCTTTATCAGCCAGTGTTTTCTATAAACTATTAGGGATATAAAGATGGAAAGGTGATGAATATAATCAGTGTAAATGTTAATTTGGATAGCAAAGTAGATGCTTGGCCTTTTGCCAAAAGGGACAGAGTATTGCTAATACGTCTAAGAAAATGGAGACAGTTTTAAAACAGACTCATTCCCTGCAGGAATTAAATTATGCAATAGACTCCAGAATGTCTTAACAGGAGCCTGTTTAAATACTTAGCTTGTTTGGTACTTAACAATGTATTGTATACTGGGAACTTGCATTTTTGGCATTCACTAGCAACTGTATTTTAGTTTTCCTGACAGTTAGAATTGTAAAAAAAACCACAAAGTTTGGAATGGAGCTGTTTTCTAGAGACAAGAGAAGAACCTGAGAGTCAAAGGCAGCATTTAATTTATGGCTACCTTGCTGTGAAAAATGTTAGATAGCTTTATATTAAAAATACCCCCCTCCCCAAATGTATCAGTAGAAAAAAAAACATTCTGTGTGAATGGGCAAACTAGTGAGCAAAGTAAAAAAAGTGACAATCAAATTAATAAAGTTAAATGAGTTGGAAGGAGTTTATTAGATATGGAACAATTAAAATTCCATAGAATTGGAAGTAGCCTCTGTTTTCTCCTTTCATAAATATTGGATAAACAATATTATAGCAACATTGCTCTATTTCAACATTTCCTGCATTGTAAATTAATTACTTTAAATTTTGTTGCAGCTTCTGTCCCTTCTGTTTGAAGACTTGTTTAAAAAATTCAACTCTGAGTTGAAGAAAATTGCTGACCAAGTAATTCCCAAGCAAAGAGCTGCCCAGTTTGATGTAGTTAAACACATGCGGCAAGATCAGATAACCAATGGTATGGTGAATGCCATCTCTACAGTAAGTGTTTCATTTGGATGGATTGCTTTAAGATATCATGAGCCAACAGACAGGATTAAATGTAAATTATAGGTCGTCATATTGCAGAATGTTTCTTTTTCCAATTTTAATTCAAAATCTTCCTTGGATTTGTTTATAGAAGAATTGTTAGTAGCTTATATTTGTAAGTCATGTTAAAGTTCATCCATTTCTGATTTCTGCCATCTGGATAGTACAGTATATGAGGGGTCCTTGGTGCTCTGTGAACTTGGTTGTTTTCTTGCAGATGTTTCATTATTCAAATTAGGTAACATCATCAGAACTGATGCTGTTATCTAGTTTGAGCAATGAAATGTCTGCAAGAAAACAACCAAGCTCAGAAAGCACCAAGGACCCATCATTTCAGCTCTGAGCTACAAATATTCTCTTTTATCAGTACAGTATATTATTGTCAGTTGACGGAGGTGTTTAAAGCGTTGTCTCTATTTTGTTGGATGTCTTTCTTGAGAATGTGAGCAAAGTATATCACCAGATCCAATTAATTTCTTGACTTAAGTGTAAAGGATCTTTTAGGTGTGTTGATGTTTTAATCTGGATTCTTGTACTAAATAGGGAACTGGATTTAAGTAGTTTAAAAGACCCTTTCCAACCTTAAGATTCTGTGATTTATATTCTGGATTCTGTCCAGGAAATATATTATAATGCACCCTAGAAATAAATAAAGTACTAGGTTGTTTGGACCATTCCAATTGTTTCCCAACAGAGAAATGTCTTGGTTATGTATCTCTTCACTTTAATATTTGTATCAAAATACCAAATAAAATTTGAAATGAACTTTAAACAATTGAGAAATTTGCCTGTGACAAACAATTGATCAAAATCTGCAGCAAAGCCTTGGCATGTTGAAATTCAACACATCACCGAGAGCATGGTTGTTGTTTATACAAAGAAGTGTCCTAGATTTTACTGTTATCAAACCTAGATGATAGATGAAAATCTGGACCTATTTTACCATCTTTTTCAAACTGATACTGTTTAGAAATATAAAAGGTTGTTTTAAATGTTCACCAGTTTTACATGGTTTTTTAACTTTAGGGAAATTGGTCACTGAAGAGATTCAAGATGGATCGACAGGGTGTGACTCAAGTATTGTCACGGTTGTCCTATATATCTGCTTTGGGGATGATGACAAGGATTTCTTCTCAGTTTGAAAAGACCAGGAAAGTGAGTGGCCCCCGATCTCTGCAGCCATCTCAGTGGGGAATGCTGTGCCCATCAGATACTCCTGAAGGAGAGGTAAGCTCCATTGGGTTAATACACTTTCCCTTGTCATATTATGTTATACTTTAGTTTATTATATGGACGTATTGCCTTTTCCCATTCTCATCCTTTTTTGCTGTCTTTTTCCTCCAAAATGAAGAACTTCCGTGCATTAATTTCCTGTACTGCTTTCACGCTGTTAAACTAGTCCTCCTGGAATATCCGTGATTCAGAAGACTTTTTTCATAGCTATTTTCACGCTCTTAACTTTTCCTCAATTTTGAGTGATGATTTTATGTTCTTGAATTCTTTTGTCTGGCTATCCTCTTTAAAAGACAACTTTGAATTATTGCAAACAAATTGCTAATAAATACAATTTCTTCATAGCAATTTAACAATTATTATTTAGCGAAAAATGATCTAACTAGCCCTGTGAAATGAGCCCCTGCAGAGCAAATTCTTTTACCTTGCTTTACTAGGACATTTGGGTTCAATCTGAAAAAAGTACATGCACACATATAGAATGTGTTTTTACTTAGACATACAGGTGAGCTCATATAAGCAAAAAAAGGAGTTTTAATTTTAACCCAAAGTAAGGTTATAAATCTATAAATCTAACCTAAATCTCTGAGCTACATCACTTATGTTTCCTAGGATTAAATTATGAGTGCCATTATGTATGTATGTACTCCGTGTGTGTGTGTGTGTGTGTGTGTGTGTGTGTGTGTGTGTGTGTGTGTGTGTGTGTGTAATCGCCCCCAGGTAACAGTAGCTAAAATTGCAAACATAAGTATTGACATTATATACTGTACAAAATTACATACCAGTATATCTGATACATAACAGATTTGATGACCACCTAAGCAGAATGTTGGTTAATTTTTTCTCTTAGTATTTAAGTTATATAAATCAGTTTTTATATACTTGTTTTCCTTTTTAATTTTTTAATTGACTTCTTTTTTTTTCAGGCCTGTGGCTTGGTTAAAAACCTAGCACTGATGACTCATATTACTACTGACATGGAAGATGGCCCTATTATTAAGTTAGCTAGTAACCTTGGAGTAGAAGATGTAAACCTTCTGTGTGGAGAGGAACTTTCATATCCAAATGTGTTTCTTGTTTTCCTTAATGGTATGTTACTGCTTTTAATCCAAGTGAAACAGGATACTAGAAGAGTAAACATTAATATATATGATGTGTCTTTCTCTAATAATTAAGGCTTGATCAGGTAATTTTTCAGAAAATGATATTTTTAAAGTGTGTATTCCCAAATTTTGTCATTTCAGTTAGAATTCCAGTAATTTTTTCATAGCACTGCTAAGCCAAAACTGAACTATTTCAAGATGGTAGTTTTTGTGGTGTCTGACCAATGTTGAATATCATTGTTTCCCTTGAAAATGTAAAATATCCCATGGTGCCTTTGTGAGTACACTGTGCATTGTACAAAGTTTGGGAACTGCAGAGTGCGTATATGCCAAGTAAAATGCTTTCTGCATTCCTTGTTTTGATGTTTCATCCCATGGCATACATGCAACATTTAAAGTTACATATAAATGTTGATTGGGGAAGCCAAATTTTATAAATCTATAATATATTTTATTATAAAGATATGATTTTCATACAATGGGCATGATTCTAAACCTTTTGTGTTAGTTATGACATGAGGCAAAGCTTTAGAAAACCCACTTCCACGTTTAAAACATACCTAAATGCAGTTTTGGCAAGAAATAGCCAACACTGTTGACAAATCAGGAGCTAGATGTGAGATAGTAAAATCTGTCCCTGCACAATTATTGTGCACTGATCCCAAGACTGCTGCGAGGTGTCCTCAGCACACTGTTTCTCATGCAAAATGTTCCCAGGTAATATGCAATAAATGCTTAAAGTGCATTTAATACAGTGTGAAATTATTTTAACAAAAATACATACATGATTGGGGATGTTGAGAGTTACTATTGTTCACATCTGGAAAATACCATTTGGGGGGAAATGGTGTAGAAATGGTAGAAGAAAGGTAAAATAAAGCTTTTTCTCTCTATCTGCTATAACTATGAAAGTCCCAACTCAGCAAGTCTTTTCAGAAAACATAATTTTTAACTTTTAAAAGAAACCATATCAAAGTTCTTAGAAATAATAGTACAACAAAAGTATAATAAAATTGCTTTTGTTGGAATATGAAAATTGTTCTCCATTTTAGGTTAGCATCACTTTATTTCAGTGCTTTAAATGTTGCTACCATTTCATTTCTAGGGATGACTGATACTAATCCAAATTATAGCAGAAATCTAGTTAAATTACCTACTATAATTTCTTTAAAAATGTATTGACTTTGCTATTAATTGTTGCATGTTTATGTCCCAGGAAAGAACAGAAATTGATCAAACATTTTATAACTATGCTGATAACAACTTGGATTGTTATTCATCAGAAAGCTAACATTTGCCCAATCTATCCATTGAAAGGATGGTAACATTTACAGAATTATTTAATTGTTTGCTTGAACAGGTAACATCCTTGGTGTCATTCGAGATCATCAGAAACTAGTCTACACATTCCGGCTGATGCGTAGAGCAGGCTATATAAATGAATTTGTTTCAATCTCCACAAATCTTGCAGACAGATGTGTCTATATTTCTAGTGATGGTGGAAGGCTATGTAGGTAAGAATTTTGAATATGCTTTTCCTGGGCCATGGCACCAGAATATTCTATTCCAAGTATATTATCAAGTTGTTCAGTTCATTCACAAAAATCAGTTTTAGACACATAATGTACTCCACAAGTTGATTGGCAAGCAGTTTGCATTTTACCATCAATCCAGTCATATAAATTGGAACTCAAGAAATGCACATATCAGCAACTAAAAAGTATTCATCATTGGAAGTTACGTAGTTTGATTAGTGTTACTTAATTTTTTGATTTTGCTGTGGCTTTCTTCTTTTGCCTATTATATCTCAGATCCATTTCACCCTTGAAATCAGGAATTACTCTTAATCTGGTTGTTTGAACTGGAATATTGTAATTATTCACTTCACACTGGAAATTATGTGCAAGTAGCAACAATCCTTAATGTCCAACAGAGCATGCCATTCTTGTAACTTTGCTTATATAATGTTTATAGCAAAAACCTATGAAAGCTTAGGTTGCTGACTGAAAGCATGCACTTAATTTTTCCCCCATCAGGAGTGATATAGGGTCCCATCAATCATCTTGACAGAATAATGCAATAATTTAGTAAAATATTACTTGTCATTTTTTCCAAAGCTATCTTTTTAGCTTTGAAAACTGCAGAATCTGTTTTGGTTCTCTGGAATGATAGATGTAATATTGTTACCTTGTAAGCAATTGGTATGAATTAACTGAACATACCAATCAATTAGCAAAATCAAATCAAGTTGTAATATCAAATTAAAATTGTCCCTGTTTAAAAAGAGTCCAAACACTTGGACCTGAATTCATGAGGGGCTTATCAGTAGATCAGGTAAATCATAAATGAGAGTTCAGTTCTGGGTTTTCTGGAGCCAATTTTGAATGGTTGATTTTTTCTTTCACATTTGTTTGGAATCAGCATATAATACAGAGTGTCTTACACAAAGACGAACCAATAGCTTTGCTAAGACAGGATTTATTAATACTTAAAAATGTGTCTGTGCAAGTTTAAAGCAGGATCTTTTGGAGTGTTGTATGGAACTGGTGGGGATACAAAATGATTGATTTCCATGTGCTCTGTTCTGAACTATGTCCCATAAAGTGCTCTATATTATATTACCCTTTTAAAAAGAAACACTACTCTTTCCTTCAAGAGACATTCACTCACATTTTATTTATATTTTGAAAGTTTATAAAGTTAGATAATTTATTAAATATTAAATATAGAAATAAATGATAATAAATGAATTATAGCTATTGATATAACCCTCTTTAAAATATATATCTTTTCTACTTCATGTTAAAAATTGTTGCAGTCATTGATAAAGAAGGCTAAATGGAGACCTGTAATGCATTCCCTACAGCTGTTATGCTAGCCATATATATTAGAAAATAAATGCAAAGCACTGTCAGAATGGTAAATATAGTCCACCTGCTTTAAATAGTCAGCAGAGCAGAGTGATACAGATGTTACATTATGTCATGCCCTTGTGACTTACACACACACCAGAGGATGAGAAAGGACATGCTTGTTCTCCAAGCTTGTTGTTTAGTTTCTGAACGTTTCATCACCAGGCTAGGTAACAACAGAGAACTGAAACAAGACATTTCAACCAAAGTTCCACTGATGATGTTACCTAGTCTGGTGATGAAACATTCAGAAACTAAACAACAAGCTAGGAGAACAAACCACCACCATCTACCAGCCAAGCTACAAATATTTTTCACCATTTCTAGTTTTGTCCTATATTCTGGTTTTAGTTAATGCTTATCACCAGGTGCCTCCTGATGATCACTATAACTGAAAATAAATGCCAATAACTGAGTTGCAGGTACATTCTTCTAAGTTCCTGTCTTTAAAACTTTATAGCCTAATATGAACCACCATATGGATAAATAACAATTCCTGCCTGAGATTTCCTGTTTTATCTTGGGAATATATTTGAAAGTGCAATCCTACAATGAAAGCTGTGTTGTATATGCCAGTTGGAAGCCCTTTATTCCTTCAGTATGTCATTTTCCTGTATATTATAAGTCTTTCTTCTTTTCTTTCCTGATCTTATAATTTGCACATTGTATTTACAAGAGTAGTCTATCTTTTTTTAATGGCATAGTGTATACAGTCAGCTAAGACTGAGTATATGAGTTCTAAGTCTTTAGGATCCATTCTGCTTCAGTCCACTCTAATTGTAATTCCCTATTATGTTGCTCATGCTGATAACTTCTGCTGTTAACAAGACCTTCATTTCATCTCTGAAATGATGTGATAATACAATACATAATGTGTTAACTCTCTTTCTTACGATCTAGACCCTATATTATTGTGAAGAAACAAAAACCTGCTGTAACAGAAAAACATATGGAAGAACTTGCACAAGGTTATAGGTAAAACAACTCAATAAATTATCCTGGCTTCTTTTCCAAGATCCATCTGTTCATAAAAATAAGAATAAACAGCATTTTCTATGTTTGCAATACAGTATTTAAACATAGATACTTCTATACCAGTGGTTCTCAACCTGTGGGTCGGGACCCCATTTGGGGTCGAATGACCATTTCACGGGGGTCGCCAAACCACGCTGTCCGCCATTTTCCCCCTTTTCCCTAGTTGTCCTACTCCCTCTTATTGGCCACACCCACTTGGCCACACCCCTGGGGGTCACCACAACACGGGGAACTGTATTATGGGGTCACGGCATTAGAAAGGTTGAGAACCACTGTTCTATACTCTTCAACAACAAGCTACCATTCAGTGTCTGGGCCTCCAAATTGAAACATGAAATGATATTAGTTGGAGCCACTAAATTTTCCTCCCCACCAAATTATTTTTATATAACATTAATTAAAAATAAATAAATGGGAAGCAGGGTTGATGTAAAAGTTTGTAATGTATTCAGCTGCATTGGATCTCTGCACAGAGCTAATGATCTGAAGATGAGAAAACAAAGAGGTGCCTGACTACTTTGTCCTACCCCTGAGAACATGCTTTGTGTTTGCCTTAGTTTGGGGTGGCTGGGGTGGCAGGTCCCCCCATAAGCTAACAGCACTTCATATTAGCCAATATATAGACTGAGCCAGTGGGGTTTTCAATCAGGCCATATATGTACTGGTTAATGCAGCTCCATGTTAGCCAACAGGTAGATTAGACTAAAGGGATTTTCAGTAGGGGTTGGTCCACACATTGGCTAATCAAGCTCTTTGTTAGCAAAAATGTTGGTCTGATTGACAGGATTTTTTTGTAGGTTATTCTGCTCATTAGCTAGTGGAGCTGTGTGTGCTAGCTAATAGGTTGATGGTGCCAAAAATTTCATTCTTTGAAACAAAAAAAATATAGTGGTTAGTGATACAGTTGTGTTCTGAGATCATTTTTTCAACGCAGAGGGGCTATTTCCTATAATGAACACTTTCTCTTTCTTCTCCTGCATCTCCTTGCTGTAAGAAATAGCATGGTGGGTAGTTGCAGTCCAATACGTTGTTTGCCATTCAGTATATGGGTACCTTATGATCACCATACTCAGTACTCCATTACCCTGTTTCCCCCAAAATAAGACCCATCCCGAAAATAAGTTCTAGCCTGATTTTTTGGGGTGGGCCTAATATAAACCCTACCCCAAAAATAATCCCGGGGGGTGGACAGCACAAGCAGCGGCAAGTGCGCGAGGACCAACGGTGTCCGGCAGTAACCGCAACTCACCAGTCCCTTGGTCCAGAGCAGGTAAGTCCATGCACAGAGGCACCCAAACACTTTCCCCCTGAACAGAGTTCTGACGGAGACTGGAAGCTTTGTCTGCTTGCAAATGGGTCGCTTTGAAACAGAGCAGTTAGCTCCATCTCCAAGTGCCCCATTCATAAGCAGACAAAGCTTCTGATCTCTATCAGATCCCTATTCAGGGGGAACATTTGGGTGCCTATGGGGTGCTTGGGGCAGCGCTACCCCCCCACTTGCCTCGCCTCATGGTGTTGGCATGGCACGGCAGGCCACAAGTGGCCGCAGAAGTGGGCCCATAGCCACGCAGCCTCCTGCTGGACAGGGCTGTCAGCGCCATCGCTGCGAGGTGAGGCAGTTGTTGGGGGGGGGAAGTAAGACATCCCCCGAAAATAAGACCTGCCTCTTTTGGAGGCAAAAAAAAAAAAGACGGGGTCTTAATTTCGGGGAAACACAGTGTGGTGAGAGGGCCCATTTCAAATGCACAAAAGTTAAAGAAGGAAGCACCTGGCTGAATGAGTAAGGTACATACCGTGTGGAAGCCAAATCTGTTCAGTCCTTAGCATCTTCAGGTCAGTCAGTCCTCTCCCTGAACCTCTGGAGAGCTGCTGCTACTCAGAGTCTTTAATTAAATAGGTCAATTACTCTGGACTCTAAGGTAGAAATCTGGGTAAGAAAATTCATTTATATAAAAATCCTGCTTTCACTTTGCTTTCCTATTAGTGTCTGTTGTTTATCTTTTATGCATATTTGATGTGGAAATATGTGAGAATATACATTGTTTTGAAATATAAATATTTTATATTCAGGAATTTTGAAGACTTTTTACATGAAAGCCTTGTTGAATATTTGGATGTGAATGAAGAAAATGATTGCAACATTGCACTCTATGAACATACAATCAATAAGTAAGTATTCTGGCATCATTAGAACCTAATTTTTGTATTGTAACATTGGAATTGGGACAATGTTGGGAATATACTTTAAGAATGAAAAAAGATGAATTTTTGCATGCACACATATATATATGTGATATAAAAAATGTCTTTTCAATTATTAAAATTGTCTTCAAGAACATTTGTGTTACTCAGTAACAGAATTAAAATAGTGAAATCCAAAATCAGATTTCCTCATTTGATATTACAATTAACAAACTCATTGTTTGTTTTGTTTGGTACCATTGGATCTAATTAATCTCCAAAGATCTTTCAGAACAGTTGGGTTTTCGTCTACTTCCAAAAAGCCAGTCCAGCTTTTCAGTATGTAACCATGTGGTTTTAACTTTAAGAAATCTAACTATATATTTTTTCCTTTATTAGAGAGACAACACACTTGGAGATTGAACCTTTTACTCTTCTTGGAGTCTGTGCTGGTCTTATTCCATATCCCCACCATAACCAGTCTCCAAGAAACACTTACCAGTGCGCTATGGGAAAGCAAGCTATGGGTAAGACTTCTGTGTCTTCAGATCAGAATAGTTGTTTCATTCACTCTGGATTCAATATTTCTGATAACCTGCCTTGAAAACATTTGCCTTCTCTCTATACCCCCAATTTTGGCACAATTTTCTATATGCTTTCCTATTTAAAAACAAAAAACAAAATTAGAAACATACTCAGAGGCTAAGATAAAAAATTGATGAGCGATATTTTATGACACTTGGTTTTCATTTATCAGCATTAAATTATCAAGATTATTTTTAGGGTAATGTGGTTATAACTCCCTTTTCAGAAAACAGGAAATCTCCAATTCATCAACTATTATTTCTTAACAGAGATTATTAAGGTTATTATGGCTGGATTCCAGAATTCATGAATAAGAAATAAATTTGCATCAACAGCTCTGTTGTACTCCCTACAAATAAATAAATAAATATATATATATATATATATATATATATATATATATATATATATATACACACACACACACACACACACACACACACATACATACACACACAAACACACACACACACACACACACACTATAGTTTGTTTAGTGGTTCATCCTTTACTTATCCTTTACATAAGTAATATGTACTTATTAATCTAGATTAATAGATTGACTCATAATTAGCATAATAGGGAAAACTGTGTGTATTATGTGTAAAATATATAAATGAACACACAAATAACTAGTCATATATTTTGATGATTTTGTTTTGCTTGATTTTGTTTCACTTCAGCAATGGTTTCCCTGCTCTTTGCTACTTATAAATAAGAATAGAGAGGATCACTTGTACAAATATCTGTACAGCTGGACCCTATAGCCCACATACATTGCAACTAATATGTAGTCTCTGTATGGATATACACTTGTTAATTTACATTAAGACAGTGTAAAGCATTTGAATAGGTGCTTTGTAAACTATGAGATGTGTTTGAATATTAGCTCAGGTTGGTAGTTGAGCTGTTGGTTTGTAAACTATTTTGCCAAAAACAAAGCATCTCCCTTTGAAGTTTTGAAGACCCCTCCCCCCCTCCCGGAATGATCATGCAGGGCATCGAAGTCTTTTCCCATGAGTCTTTTGTCTTTACGCACATGTGGGCACATAATTGCTTCACATTGCCAGCAGAAACATTGTCTGGGCATGGGACTGCACAGGGCTTTTGGGGAATGTAGCAGTCTCAGAATCGGATGACGAGTGCTTTATTTGTTTGAGTTTATGTGGCTCAAATGTTTTGCACAACATTTATTTATACATCACACATTTGTGTAACGTGTATTTCCAGTTCTCTACCACGGCAAGCAAATTGTCACATACAATCTATTATTTGCAAATTACATGTTGCTGTGTAGCTTTAACCTGGCTTGTTTTCCATCTTCCTAAATAAGTGTCGCTTTATGAAGACATTTCACTGATCCTTAAATAACACTTGCAGGATTTTTCTCTGCAGCAATTGCAACTGAAGGCAGAGAACCATCCATTCATTTCAATGAGGCTAAGTTGGCATTACTATTTGCTTAAGATGTTAACTGTGAAATTTAGTTAGGGTGTCATTCCTGGTGGTCACATAAATTCAATGAATGTATTATATAGCCAAATCATGCTGCTTCTCGAGGGGGGGGGGAATAAAATATCTTATGTAATCTTTTTTACATAGGCAAAACCCCAATGTAATAAATTTTCATTCCCTTCAGCACATTAGAAACATTTTAAAAATATTTTACACACCGTCCCTTTCTTTTAATTGCATCCTGTTTCTTTGTTATGCTTTCTTTTTCCAGGAGAATCTATTTTAGGACTATTAGCCTCAGAAGGTTTGGTTAGTTACCACACACAGTTAAGCAGGATCAGTGTGTACAGAAAGCCAATTCAGTATCTGTAGAGTTCTTTTGTACTTTTCTGTGTGAAGGTCTTTTTTTCTCATTTTGTTTTCAGTGTCATTTGCAATTCATTGTCTGTGTTTTCTGAGGTTGGTGTATTCAGCTGCTTTGACCCAGGGTCTTGCACATTTAGCTCCTTGGATACAATCCTCTGACGTTGCTGCTGACGATGGGAATACAAAAGCTGCTGAATATCTTTAGTAATTATTGTTAAAGGCTTTGTTTCTGTGTGCTACTGCAAGCACCTGAGGAATGAGCAAGGAGATAAAAGTACAGTTCTAAAGCTGAGATGCAGTAGACTATTTAAAAAAAAACATACAAACATTAAACATCTAATTGTGTGCTGAATATGTGCTAATAGTGGCTGGACTATTTTTCCCTTCTGAACATCTTTCCTTCTGTGTCCTGTAGATGTGTGGGACTGCAGTTCCTATAATCACCAGCTGGCTATGGTAAAAGAAGTTATAATCCAAGACACCAAATTAGAAAAAATACAGGCATAGACATAGTGCCTGTAAGAAGCTCAATTGGTATAATCCTAGATTTGCTACAAATTAACTTCAGGCACATCTGCACAGTTTCCATTTGGTCTGTAACTTATGAGTTGGCTATTTTGAATCTGTCTGGACAGTGATTCATCACATCAAAATACGTTTGTTCTTTAAAAGTGTCAGCCCTCCCTTATGGTTGTCTCTGCCTGTCCCTTCCCACCCGCTGCCACTAACAGTCTTTTTATTGTCCTCTGGGAGATACATGTTCAAGTCCATTTAGTCACTTCCTGGGCTGTCAAGAATTTGGGATTATTGAGATAGTCTTTTGGCTCCCTGCCGAGAAGAACGGACTTGTTACTCAGCATTGCCCCATTCTGATTATTTGAATACTTCCATTGCCTGAGAAATGCCTTCCTTGAGGCTTAGCAAAAATTAGGCGGATCGGTGGATCTTAAATAACACAGAGTACCAGTTGAACTGAACTTCTGGTGATATATGTTGGAAGGTATAAAAAGGTATAAATAGAACTAAAACCATATTTGTAGATGGTATTTTGAGAGGCTGGAAGATCACTTAAGTATTTTTTATTAGATCCCATTTTTCTTTCAACAAGTCTATGGGTAAGCTTATCTTGAGTAATCAGTTAGTACTAATGAGGCTGAGATATTACTAGCCATATTCCAGATACACAGGAATTATTTGCCTGTTTAGTACTTCTTGTTTATCAATTTATGGAGCCTGAAGAATTACTTTCTGCTCAAGGCTATAAAAAGGAATCTCAATCTTGTGGTCATTATATTTTGTATATTGACTGGTATACTGTAACAACGGTTGTATTTATAACTAGATTACTTCAGATCTACTCCTCAAAAGTATCTAGTAAAAAAGCTATGATGGCAGCTGCAATCTAACTCTAGAATAATTCAAAGACTAATTGATTTTTGAAATAAAACTTGTAGAGGCTTAAAACTGCTTGAGGCCTAAGAGATACAGCCACACTGACAACTTTCTTCTATAATTTATATTTCATGTAAAAGTGGGTGGGAAAGGTTAGGTATTGCACATTTTCACCTAATTAGCAATCAGCTAAAATGAACACTAAGTAAATAGATGGCATAAAATACTTGCTGCTTTTTCTGTTGATTTCTGTTGATTTCTCCACAAGTTGTAATGTAGTAAATAACATTAGAACAATAGAATCAAGCATCCACCAAGTTTGCTTAAGAAGATTTTTTTTTTTTAATTGCAGGTACCATTGGCTACAATCAGAGGAACAGGATTGATACCCTTATGTATCTATTAGCATATCCACAAAGACCAATGGTTAAGACAAAAACAATAGAACTGATTGAGTTCGAAAAACTGCCGGCTGGACAGAATGCCACTGTTGCTGTGATGAGTTACAGTGGTTATGACATTGAGGATGCTCTGGTTTTAAACAAGTCTTCTTTAGACAGAGGTAGGAAGTCTCTACTTAATAGGATAGCTATGTTTCTTGCTTCAGCTCAATACAAATAGTTTACATCTGTGAATAAAGAAAAAGAATCACAATTTTGATGTTTAAATTGACAAACCATGATTTATTTTTAGATGTATTTGTATGCTACAGTATGTAAAAACTATGATTTGGTGTGATATCTAAATTGAAAAATTACACTTGTGATATTTAAAATTATAGATCACATTTGCTTACATACCACATCACAAAAAAGAACACTGAGCTGATGGAAAAGCAGGTAGCTCAAAATTTTCAAGCCTTGTACTTTTGTGGGCTCACTTTATGAAAGAATTTGAAAATCTTTTTTTAACATAATAGTGAATTATAATTACATCTCAACTGAACTCTTGTACAACAACTTTTCAAGAAGTAGAGTGAATGAGAAATTACTGCTGAAAATGCATCTTAAGGGGAGCTCCAAATTTATTATTGTGACTGAAATAAACTAATCATCTGACTTTTAAACATTTACATTTGGCTTAATTGTGCCTTACAAAATACTGCTTTTTCATTAATAATGACAACCAGTAATATTTGAACTCTAGACATATTAGTAGAGATGAATATGGGTAGTTCTCGACTTACAACCACAATTGAGCCCAAAATTTCTGTTGCTAAGTGAGTTTTGCCCCATTTTTACGATCTTTCTTGCCACAGTTAAGTGTATCATTGCAGTTATTAAGTTAGAAGTGAATCTGACTTCCCCATTGACTGCTTGTTAGAAGGTCACAAAAGGTGATCACATGACCCCAGGACCCTGCAACCATCACAAATATGAGTCAGTTGCCAAGCATCTGAATTTTGATCATGTGACCATGAGGATGCCACAACAGTCATAAGTGTGAAAAATGGTCATAAGTCAAGTTTTTTAGTGCCGTTGTAACTTTGAACGGTCACTAAATGAACTGTTCTAAGTTGAGGACTAAGTTGATGGTATTACTTGAATACCATCAGGAATTATTATGATACGTGGAGAAAAAATAATAACAAACCAAAGTTGGACCCCCCAAAAATGTATTAGTGTTAAATTGCCTAGCAAATAAATGCGATTAATAATAAATTTGCTTCCTGTTTTTAAGAAAGCAAAAATCTTCGTGTTTATCATTAGGTTGCAATGCCAATCATGCACCTTCTCCAAAAGGTATATTAAATCCTTTTCAGGAAAAGCATATTCAGTGTTTTTCAAAGAGTATTCCTTGCCTTCGCTTCAAATAAACTTGTCTGGATGGTACGCTTTTTAGTGTTGCCTCATCAATCATATTTAAAACACAGTTCCTCTGCTTGAGGCCTAATATCATGGGTGCCTGAGTTTACTTTGTGTGGTCAGACTGCTTGCGTACTGCAGTACATTCTACTACACTCACCCATCCTTAAGAGCCCTTTTGCCAGTTGCCAGGCAGCACTAGTAGTATTGCTGGACATGTATCTTTGGCATTAATGTCTGCACACTTAATTTATTCTTTTTTGCCTAAAACAATAGCAGACATGATTTAAAGCAAAATGTTTTCTTTCTGGTAGACTAGTAACATTAGGGGGAAATCAAATACTCTCCAGAATTACGTCGTTACAGCCAAATGATACAGATATACTATGCATAACTTCAACTGAAAAGCACTTTTAAAAAGTAAAGTTTATGAAGAAGCATTTTTTCAAATTTAGGAATTATTAAGCCAATGAGGGCCAATGAAAGAAATACAGTATTTTTATATGTTTTTGGAATCTTGTAGCTCAAAATTATTAAGGGTAATTAATGTTTTGGTTTAATATTTTTACAAAATAGTTTAGATCACTGTTTAGTTAAATTATGGTCTTTTAAAACAAATCTGGAAATTAGGTATCAGCTATATTTTATTGTTCTTTAAACCTGTTAAATTACATAAGTAGTTGTTCTAAAAGGTAGGTGTTTTATTATAAAAATGCAGTGTTCTTTCAGAAATATAAACGTAATTTAATTCTCCAATTATAACAAATTCTTGTTTTTAGCTCTCTTGAAATGTGGCTGTAATGATGTTTTGACCCCTTTAAAGTTACAATTCTAATGAAAGATTATAAATGTCTTATGACACTTTAAAGTTGCTATTATGACATAATATTTCATTGTCATAAGCCACTGCGTTTCTAACAGAATGCATTTTGGTTCATGCCCTATTAAAATTATTATAAAAACATTATAATTTAATAGCTTCAAAAGGGTCCATTGGATTGCAGCCCCAGTCTCTAAATTGCCCTCAGATTCAGCATATTAAGTGCCTTGTTTCATAAATAACTATCCAAGCAACTGTTTTCTCTACTATGGATTTGTACAGTATATTTAAAACATAATCATGAATGTCTGATTATCATTTTAAATAACCCCTTATAGTAGTTTTGATTGATATGTTTATTTTCTTTGAGGCTTTGGAAGGTGCCTTGTGTACAAAAATGCTAAGTGTACTCTGAAGCGTTACACAAACCAAACATTTGACAAAGTAATGGGGCCCATGCTGGATGCAGGAACACGCAAACCAATTTGGCGGCATGAAATTTTAGATGCTGATGGTATTTGCTCTCCAGGTATACAAACATTGTTTTCTTTTCTTATAAGAATTATTAGTTTGAACTATTATTTTTGTTCATGTGCTGTTGTCAAACTGAACTCCAGATCTGCAGCCTTTGTGTTATAACATAGGGAGAACTAGTGACCTGATTCAATAGAAGGCTTTTTTGTTGCTGTTTAATTATGAACATGCATGGAATATACTGGATGGTTTAGCAACCTCTCAAAAATCAGACCCTCCTTTTTCAGTGTTTTGCTGCCTAAGTTTGGTGATATGATCTTGGTTTACCCCAAGGAGCATAAATAAGGCTATAGCACAGTCTCCGCTCTTACCATTTAAAGACAATGAAAATAATTCAAACAGGTAGCAAATATGTTATTTCCTCATATACTTACAGGTGAAAAAGTAGAAAACAAGCAAGTACTTGTGAATAAGTCGATGCCCACGGTGACCCAAACCCCTTTGGAAGGGAGCAGCGCATCTCAGCAATCTCAGTATAAAGATGTGCCAGTAATGTATGACATGCTACCTTATTTTAAAAAAGCAACAGAAAAGAAGGAGGTGGTAGAAAAGGCTTAATTCTGAAAAAGAAAATAGAAATTGGCCATGTCGGGCATAGTGGTAACTAAACGAGTTCAAGTGTCTAGTTTTTGTGATAATGTCACAAGTTGTGGTGGCGTAGCGGTTAGAATGGAGTTTTGCCGTCTGCCAGCAATTTGATCCTCACTTGTTCAAGGTTGACTCAGCCTTCCTTCCGAAGTTGATAAAATGAGGATCCAGATTGTTGGGAGCAATACGCTGACTCTATAAACCGCCTTAGAGAGGGCTGTAAAGCACTATGAAACAGTATATAAGTATAAGTGAGATTGCTATTGCTATATATATTATAAACATACTGGATTTCAACTTGTTTCAGTCTTTTGTAATATCCAAATTCCTAATGGGTTCTTTTTGTTCATTTTTAAACTAGCTGGGTGAAGATAGTTTTCTTCATCTACCATTCCTATTGTTACTGAGTTCCTATAAATTTTTTGCAGTTGCTTTCAGTATTGAAACTTTGCATGAAGAAGTAAATTAAATTTGTAAACTGTTGCTTTGCAGATATCTAGTATTAATTAAATTCAGCTGGGTTTTTTCTTGAATTAAACTATGTACATTTTCTGTTCATCAGTTACAAAGGTGCAACTGATTCGTACATTGAAAAGGTCATGATATCTTCCAATGCAGAAGATGCTTTTTTAATCAAAATATTACTAAGACAAACTAGGCGCCCAGAAATTGGAGATAAGTTTAGCAGTCGTCATGGACAAAAAGGTACATTTTACTACATTTTAATGGTTTTAGTATAATCAAAATATATTTCCAGTTGTTCTTGGTATAACAGCAGAGCAGAGTAAGTAAAGTAATACAATTGTTATTAGTTCCTGGATTGGATTTAACTAGAATTTTAATCTTCTGTCTCTGGGAAGAGGCATAAATGCTGTTCTGTTGCATAATAGTAATAATAATAGTAGTAGTAGTAGTAGTTGGAAGGGACCTTGGAGGTCATCTAGCCCAACCCCCTGCTAAGGCAGGAAACTCTATACCATTTCAGACAAATGGCTGTCCAGTCTCTTCTTAAAAACTCTAGCTTCTGGAGGCAGGTTGTTTAAAACTGAATGGCTATTACTGTCATGAAAAAAAATGACAATACAATGAAAGTTGCTATATTTTGAAATTCATGGGTAATACTGTGAATAAATTAACATGTAGTCATTAAAAATACTTGTGTCTTTTTCTTCTATTTGGTAATACATGATGGAGGCATGAGCAACTACTAACAGATACTGTAACTCTAATAGTTAATTAGATGTATTTGAAAAAAATGTGAAAAATGATCAAATTTTGAACAAGCAATTAAATTTCATTTTTAATGTGTGCCATTGTGCTCACAGTAAAAAATTACAATGAAGGTTGTCTGTTTGTATGTCTGTCTGTCTGTCTGTCTGTCTATCTATCTATCTATCTATCTATCTATCTATCTATCTATCTATCTATCTATCTATCTATTCCTGTTCTTTGCAAGTAGGAAAATTCTAAAGTAGAAAGAATTCTATCCATACATATCTGGCCAGAACTATACTATTAAGTTTTTATGTTTGATGTATACTCAATTGAGATGGATACAGTGTTGCTTGATTACTTTAACCAGATAGTCATCCTTGTCCCCAAATACTTTGGGCAATAGTTTCCACAATATAATTCTGCTATTATCAACTCGTAACAGTTGACAGCACCATATTGTTAACCCTGTATTAAAGAGTTATTGAAGTGAGAAAAAATTAACTCCATTAACTCAATTTAACTTAATACTTCCCTATACTTCAATACATTGCTCCACTGAAAGGTAAGCAGCAAGTGTTATGAACTGTCTGCTCAGTAACTTCATTTAGGATCAGTCATCATCTCTCAGTCTAGCTTAATGCAATAAAATAATAATAATAAAATCAGAATAGGGGCATAGATAGTGGGAGATAGTCAAATGGAGAAATTTGACATGCTTCTGTGATCGTAAGTGTTGGCAGGCTGCCAAGTGCATGAATTTTGATCATGTGACCATGGGTGTGATGCAATAACCATAATTTCAGGCACAAGTTGTAAGTCTATTTTTTTCAGCACCATCCTAATTTCAACTGGTCAGAAATAAATTGTCATAAGTGAAGGACTTCCTATAAAGACCACTACTGAACAAGGATTGGATTTTTTTTAATTTTTCCCATTGCTTTTAGATATCAGGCAGATAGGTGCAAATAGTTGAAGGCAGATTGACCAGTGATTCTCAAAGTGTCTTATGAACTTCCGTTTGTGCATAAACATGTTCATGTAGAATGAAACGTGTGCAGCCAGAAGTGGAAAAGTCTTCAGTGCTTTTCATAAAGGGATCTGGGGTTTGAAATGGTTTCCAGGTACTTTCAGGGTCCTCAGTGTGCGCATATTATGTTCAGTGCAATTGAAATTGTATACTTGGATACAGTGGTGGGATTCAAATATGTGAACAACCAGTTCTCTGTGTGGATGCTGTTTCCGGAAGTCCATTCTGGGCCTGGGCAACAAAAAATTAGCTACCGGTTCTGCCGAACTGGTGCAAACTGGCTGAATCTATCTTAATCATAGAACCATGGAAATAGTATTAATAAGATATATCACTAGGTTTATGACTCATAGCTCTTGATTAATACATTTCCACAACTTATCCCAGGCAGGGCAAACCTTTTAGAGACCGAGTGCCTAAACTGCAACCCAAAACCCACTTATTTATCACCGGGTGCCAGGTGGCCGTGGCCCACTGGGTGGGCGTGGCTGTGGTGGTCATAAGAGAATGGGTGGGTGTGGCCAAGGTGGGCATGGTTACCTCAATGTTGCTCATGGGCAGGGACTCTTGTGGGGGCTGGACAGGGTTGGGGGAGATCCAGGGAGTCTCTGGTGGGTGAGACAGTGGGCAGGAGACTCGTCCTGCGGGGTGAGGGGAGATGAGGCAGGGCAGGGGTGGGCCAGGGCGGCTGCTGCCTGACACCATCGCCTCCCATACATAGAGACCAGTGAGCGCATGGAGGCCAACAGTGTCCATTAGCAGCCACAGCCTGCCGGCCCCTTGACCAGCACACTCTAGGGCTCTACAGCCCGCTGACAGCAGTTCAGAGAAGCCGCCTCTGAGTTCGACGGCCGGCCGACAGCTGAGGAGGCGATGCAGTGGGTTGTGCCTGGGAAAAGGAGAACATGTGAGGCCAGGAGGGACGGGACGGGGGGGAGGGAAACCAGCCGTGCTGGGATGCATCCGGCTATGTGGGACCTCGACGAGTTAGCGGGCAGCTGCTTGAAGAGGGATGGTTGCCATCTTTGGGGCATAGCATGTGTGCCCACAGAGAGGGCTCTGAGTGCCGCCTCTGGCACGCATGCCATAGGTTCGCCACCACTGGCTTATCCCTTCAGTTTTCTCTTTTGGGTTCTTCTAACTTGGATATATCAATTTTGTTGACAAAGAATGTGGCAAGGTAAGGACTGCTTCCTATTTACTGAACTGTTATCTATAATTAAATTGGACAACACAGGACAAGCCTGACCTCACAATTAAGGGAAGTGAACTAAATTTATTAAACATTTATTGAAATTTGCTACCACTAAAGTTACAGAATGATCTGCACTGCTTGTCTGTTTTTAAATTAATAGAATTTAAAATGTTGATTCTGGCCTATAAAGCCTTAAATGGTTTAGCATTTAACTGTCTAAGGGACAACATCTCCCATTAAAACTGACAATATCTGGTTGCTTTTGAAAATGCCTCTGTTGTCAGAAGATCCCCTTTCTGGCACATAGGAGAGGGTCTTCTCCCGTGTTGCTCCCGAACTATGGAACATGCCTCAGGCTTCCATTTTGTCCTCCACTCTTTTGGTAAATGTCTATGGTAAATGTTTCACTTCTCATCCAAGAAGTTTCTTCAGTTCTCCAGAACTGAAGAATCTTCTTGGATGAGAAGCGAAACATTTTCAAAGGAAAAAAAAACAACCAAGAAAGTCCAGTTGCCTTTTGAAAAGCACTTTTGGGGTAACCATGACCTGAATGATTGACAATTTCCATAGACATCTGGAGACACAGACACTTCTGAGAACAAATCAGTTGTCCTCAGAAAATAACTAATCTTTTTTTTTCCTATTAGGACTTAAAGGTTCTTTTAACTCCTTCCTTCCTGTGCTTTTTCAGCTGAATTTTTGTTTTTGTGTATTGATAACAATCTCCACAACTTAGGAAGTGCTATACATGAACTGGACACATGTTGAAATGTACCTCTAAATGGAAACAGCAACTAAATTTCTGAGTACAATTGATAGTGTGCTTTGGGAAATCTGTTCCCTATAGTTAGAAAGTTGGAGCAATTTTACACTTGATAAGTCAAAATGTGCAAATTCTAAACTTTGGAATTTAAGACTTACACAATCTTTGACATTTCACAAGTCACCCTATTAGTGTAACAAGTATTTTTAGTGAATATTAATGTTCAGATTTATAAGTGGCTTGATTGACTTAAATTTTCATTAGTGTTATCCAGATAATTCAGGGAAAGCAGAAAGTAACCTTTCCCAAGCTATCACCTTTCAGATCTGTTGACCATTGTTTCTCAACCTTGGCAATTTTAAGACGTGTGGACTTTAGTTTTCAGAATTCCCTAGCCACACACATCTTAAAATGACTAAGATTGAGAAACACTGTAGATCCCAGATTTGTCAGGTGATTTGGGACTGCAACTCCCACAAATCCCAGACAGCATATCTAAAGGAGTTAACAACGCAACACATTCTGGAAAAATATTAGCATAGGAGGATAATTTGGTGGACATCATACTTATTTTTTTCAGTTCACCCAAATTTCAATCATGCTTAGTTCCAGAGAAGACTGAGAGATAATTTCAGGCTTTCATATTTCTTGCTGTATATTTCCAGACTTTCTTTTCCTTCTGCAGGAATCCCAGTGAAGGAGAAAAGTTAGAGTCCTTTGATGTGAAAAAGCAATCTATCACTTCTCTGAAAGATCGGTCTCAGTCTCTCATGTGAAAAAGGATTAACACTACTGACAAAGGTCGTGCAAATCACAGAACTAAACAGTAGTGCTGAGCAGTATTCTTCAAGTGGAAGAACTGTATTTAAGCAATGAGGATAGGAATGGCAAACAGAAGCTGTTTTAATAGCTAAAGATCCCTGATAAAGGCTTAAACCTTTCTTGAGTATCTACAATAAAAATACTTCTAGAAACAATGAAATGTTTGTACATTCATTGATATTATATTTATGAAAACATTCTGATGTGTTTCTTTTGGTGCAGAATATATTTTATTTGCAAAACTGATTATCTCTGACTATTAATAAATAATGCAAAAACACAAACATTTTTATTAAATCTATATGGCTTTTCTTCCTTGAATTGGACACATCTGAATAGGTATTTGTCTTGAATGTTTTTTATATATTTCTTTTCAACCAACAGAATCCGAAAACAGTTTAAATAAAATAAGCCAATTAACACAATCCTACAAATATCAGAATAAGCTTCATTTAAATTAATGTTTTACTAAGTTTCTCCTAGGTAAATGCAAAAGAATGTGTCCTAAAAAAACAAGAAAATTGGACTTCAAATGTCATTAGAGGCATACATCAAGTGATAGATAAAATCAAACTCCAGCTGAACTAGTAAAATCATACTGGTTAATTAATATCATAAATGTTCTGATAAATGCAGTTTTCTATAAACAAAGTCAGAAGACACCACTACCAATGGCTGGCATTTAATAGCCAGCCACTGTTATTCTATAAATTCTTGTTTTCGTCTAATATGGAGCCTTTACCCTTGTGCAATGTGTAGGTTTCTTGTTTAAATGATTGGAATCATACTTCATAAACAAAATACTAAAAAGAATAATGTTGAATTAAATCAATCTTTATAAGCTAGCAGCCTGTTTTCAAAATAATTGGGGGTAAGAGAGGCATAAGTATTCACTATACACTATATTACCCATACTGCCTCTGACATTACAGTTAACATATACTAAACATAATAAGAAGCCACTGATAGGCGTATCTTCTCTGATTTACTTTATACATAATTACATATTTCACAGATAACATATTTTACAGTTTAACAAAGCATGCAAGTAAGAAAATGATGGACAAATAGTTTTAACTAGATTCACAGAAAGATGCAATTCTGTTTTTTCTACCCAACTCATTCCAGGATCTTGAATCAGGTTACATTTCCTAAAGACCTTACAAAGTCATACTGAATTAATATGTAACGAAATATTATTCATTCTTTTTAATTTACTCTTTGCCAATTTAAAGCAAGTCCATATTTTTTAAAAAAGCACCCAAACCTTCAAGCTTTTCGTCATATTTTCTTCAACAAGGTATTTAACTTACTATTCTAACATCAAATGAGCATTTTGACTAAAGAAGCAAACCAGTAACCTTCTGACCCTTTTCAGTAATTTCCTCCCCCTCCCTTACTTTTCCCCTTTCTACAATATATTTTAGGATAAAAAGCTCTTAATTTTGCTTAAATTTTGAAACCATTTTTTTCTGAAGCTCATGATTAAGTTCCCCATATGTATTTTTCAAAGTACCTCTAGGTGTTTTACAGTTACTGCTTCTAGGAACATTGCAAAATTTTAAGTTAACCAGTTCTTTTTGTCCTTCAGACTATGCAAATTTATCACATCAGGCCATTCAGCAGCTCATGGGAAACCAAACTATAAGCAGTATTGTCTTTTAGCGCCTCCTCCAACTTGGAATGGTTTTAATAAAGAGACTAATCAAGTTGCTTATGTATTATCTATTGGTTAAATTTTGTTTTGTTGTATCTAAAATTTGCCCAATGAGATGACAAAACTGTCAATTATTCACTATTGGAAAATTAATTGTTCCCTGTTAGGGGAATTTGTCCATATTGGCAAAAAGTTTCCACTAACTGGAAGACCATTGGTTTCTGGGGGGGAGGTTCCCACCCTAGTACAGCAATAACTAGATTCCATAAATACATCTGTACTGTTCTAAATTGATGGAAATAAAAAAGAGAGAGTAGGTATGAAGATTATTATGAACTCTTAATACCAATTGGAATTAATAAATTACTAAGAAATATGTTTTAAAATACATGAAGTGTATTTTAAAATATTCTAAAATATATTTCATATATTTTATAAGAATATATTAAGTTAATAGCATTTCAGGATCTCATGCTGCAGAATTTTAAGATGGACAGAATAGTGGGAGATGCAGTGTTTCATTACATGCATTATTTTATGAAATGAAAGATCTTCTGTTGAACATGGTACATAAAGTTTTAAAATTACACTAAATATCTAGAAGACACTGTCGTAATGGCAAGTTCTATTTTTAATCTTTTCAGTAGAAACTGATAATACTGCAGCTGTGGCTTCTGATCTTTTAATTGTGGCCTGGCTTACATTCTTATACTGTGGGGCTTAATCGGGGTTTAAATGTCATAGGATTATTTGTCTTTTTGAATTTTAAGTGCTTTACTATTTAGTTCCATGGAGTATCAGTTTGTTCTTGCTGCCTTTCTGCACGGTTACAGAATAGTACAGATTTTTACAATTAAAAAACAAACATTATAAATATTAACTAATTTTGGATTTTGTACATGAGATTTTGCAGAACATCAGAATATTTTGGCTTGAAAACCAGAACTTCACATACACTATCTATCCCAAACTGGACTTTGAATTAACAACTCTGCATGAGTGATGATGTGCAGCTTTTTGATGCAGAACAGAGAAGGTACTTTGGAGAGTGGGGTGATTTTTGCTGCACCTTTCTTAAAGAAGATCTACTTTTTCCCAATAATTACATAATTCCAGTAAAGTGTACCTTTGAGATATGGAGGGTATGACAAGATAAAGGCAGTGCCATCTCTTGAAATTTACACATATATTCCTACATTATAGTGTGGTTACTGTGTGAGACCAGGAAAAGAGATGGTTTCCTTAAGCTGCATCCCCTTTGAAATATCTCCTCTGCATTGGATCTGAAGAGTAGCACATTTAAATATAGGAGATTGTTTAATGTAGCTATTATCCTAGCCACAGGCATATTCACCAATGTCAGTTCAGAAGTTCCAAGATTAATTATTATCCTTGATTTAAATAACCTTGCCCTATGAGTCAAGGTAATATTTCATATCTCTGCGAGTTACTATTTAAGTGCATAAAATCATCTATCCTTGTGAGCAATAAAAAGAACAAATGAAGAACCCGCTTATAAAAAATGTTGTCAAAATATTTTTAATTTAAAATTGTGTGTTAGATTTTGCTCTTTTGTGTTAATAGTCAAATAACCAGTTTTGTTTTTCATCAGTTCTCCTGTGTTGAAATAATTGGAACAAGGGCAAATATTGATGAAGTTTGTTATACAAAGACTTATTCGTTAAAACTTAGGTCTTAATTCTGTGCTCCTAGAAAAAGGTGGGTGCATTCATCAGAAATCATGGACAGGCAAGGTACATAGAATGTAATAATATAGTACCTCTAGTCCATAATGAGCATTATATTGAAACAGAAATCTGGGGTACCTTTATATAAATCTGGTTTTCTTTTTAAAATATAATTGACAGTATGCATCTGTGCTTAAAATTACATGCCATTGGTTTTGAAAAGAACTTACTTCCAAAACACCGAAAGGTAGTATTGCAATCTAAAACTTTTTATTTTTTTAAACATAATGGTGGTCCCCTTTAGCTATTTTTTGTACATATTCAAAGATCTGTGAATATGTATATATATTTAGGTGGTGGAATAATTCTTTAAACATTCATACGGATAGAGTAGTTTTTGTGTTTCAGCAACTTTTACTTTTGTTGTATAATTTGAAAAGGACGTATCATTTTGCTGTATTAGAAAGCCTTTAGTATAAAGTAAAAGATAAAGCCTGCAGTTTAAAATAACATTTTAACTTAATAATGAAGCAAATATATTCTTAGATTGAAAAAAAATGTTAGCATTCTAGAGACAAAAAAGCAGAAGTGCTATTGCTCAATTCTTTATAAATGTGTATGTTTTATTGTGTTTCAATTGATCAGCTTTTTAGAGTTTGATTAAAATTAAGAATTTTAACTTACTTCTGAAAATAAGAACTTTTAAAGATGTCTTGTAAAAGTAGTGGTTTCTTTTCCCTGCGAGTCTTTCTAAATATTTTGTTTTAACGTCTAATCTCATTATGCTTTCTTTGTGTTTAACTTGTATTAAAATCTGTCAGCTATGACTGGTCTCATAAGCACAGTCAGCGGACCAGAATAAGTTAATTATTTACTTGTGTCACTAGTGCTCTTCATCTAATGAAATGCACAGCTGTGTTAGATCTGCAGTTGGACGTCTCGATTCCATTGTTATACAAGTCAGCAAAGGGTAGAAGCTGCTATGATGGAGAGGCCTCTGTTCTTTCTGCTGTTCTGCCTTTCTGTGTCGATTTCATGGATCTTTTATCATTCACTTTCACACAAAACAAACAACACAGTGGCTGTCTGCTATGGGAACCGTCTTGGCATATAAAAGGGTTTCAGTGCCTGAAGTAATTTTAAGTTAGCCCAGATTTAATTTTTGCCTTATAGGTGCCCTTTCAGCATAATAATACCATGCAAGGTCCTAGTGAAGGGAAATTTGACCAAAGCTGTCCAATCTGTGTGTAAAAAAATAAAAAAATAGTCGGTATGTGAAGCAGGTGTTGAATACTTGATGTGCATATGAACCAATTATTATGGTAAACATTTCCTGTGTATCTGTATTTGTGTGTGTGTGTGTGTGTGTGTATAAACATATTTGATTTATATATGTGATACTTTGTTTGTTTGCTAGGAAATAGCCAGTTTCCTATCATGGACTATATGCATTTTCCCCATGGCCAGTCATTTTTACACATTAACCATTTATTTATTTGTATTTATTAAATCTCAAGGTAGCTCAGTTGCTCATTTTGAAATGTGGGTTTCAACTGTTTTTGACAATTTGATCTTACCAAATGAAAGTGTGAATCACTATTTATTTATTATGAATTAAATTGGATAGACTGCATAGACAGGTTAAGGTATTAGAGAAGAACTGGATGGCCTTGGTTCCAAGTTCACTCTTAGGCATGGAAGCTTACTGGATGTCTAAGAGCAGTCTCTGGTCTCAAACAAATCTACCTCCCAAGGTGGCTGTTGGGAGGTTAAAAATGAAGAGAAATAACCATGTAAACTGCCTTGAGGAAGAAAGACAGACTATCAATTTAATCACTAAATAAAATCTTTAAAAATCTTGTTTCATTATATCTTCCCTACACCCTGTGAGCTTAGTTCCTTGGTTAGTGTTCTGAGCAAGCTCGGGATGACTATACTATCCTTCCTTTCCCTTCAAAAGTAAGGCAGTTGGTTGACTTAAATTATTTTTAGTCAGCTCATTATGACTACTAAGTTTTCTCTAGGTTAAGACTTCATGCGTGTAAGAATATTTTTGTAGGAAGCGTTTTAAAACTATTTTCTAACCTAAAACTTAACATTTGTTTAGTAATCATTTAGGAGAGGAATTGGACTACATAAAAACATAAAATATGCTATTGATCTGAGGTATAGTGCAGATTCTTTGCTTTTCTTTGAAATATTCACTTTGTTGTAGGAGTCTGTGGACTGATTGTACCTCAGGAAGACATGCCATTTTGTGATTCAGGAATCTGCCCTGATATCATTATGAATCCCCATGGCTTCCCATCACGTATGACGGTATGTAGTGGCATGCATTTCATTTTAATGGATTTTTGTAATGCTAAAATTTTATCTCTTTTTATAAATTTCTCTATTAGCAATGTCAATTCCCATATTCTACATTATTTTTCATAGGGTAGAACAAAGATATAGTCTATTACATATCTTGAAAGCTTGCGCTTTCTACATGCTGAAAAAACTGGTTTGCCCAATAATATTTTCCAGGTTTATGCATATCTGTTGGAGCCTTTATATTCATAAAACAGTAGGCAGATGCTTTAGTGGAAGAATCTGGTAAAAATGAATCTGTGTCTCTTTTAGTCACTGCCAGCATGATCAAACAGAAATGGACTTGATACTATATTATGTAGCCTTTGTTAATTGTCTTCTACCTGATTCAGTTTGTTGCTTATAAAACATTGGTTAAATGTTAGAGGGGACTTTCTTAATCAAGTTTATAGTTTATAGTTTTGCTTTAGCTCACTGATTCTATGCTCCTTTAAAAAAAATCTTAAAGAGATATAGCTAATTGTACATCATCATCATAAACTTGAAGAAATACTGTAGCAAGCTCAGTTAGAAAAGAGACTTTCTTGGTTGCATTGCTCAAGAAGAATGGCTAAAGCTTTATGGAAATAGAATTAAAAAATGCATGATGACGGTAGTTAAATAAATCAGTTTGGTCAGACAGAGAGTTCTGTCTGGCATTCACTAAAGGTACACCAAGATCTAAGATACCTTAAGTACAACACTTCTGTTCTTTGAATAGCAAATCTTCCTTTCCATATCACAGATTGCTTATGGTGAAACACTGTCTCGTCTTGTGTTGCACAGGTGGGAAAACTCATTGAACTTCTGGCAGGTAAAGCTGGAGTCCTAGATGGCAGATTTCATTATGGAACGGCATTCGGTGGCAGTAAAGTTAAAGATGTATGTGAAGATCTTGTTCGTTATGGCTATAACTATTTGGGGAAGGATTATGTAACATCTGGCATCACAGGGTAAGAATATCCTAAAAGGGTACTGGGAAATATAGCATCTCCAGTTTTTAATGCAGCTTCATGTGTTAAAGATACATGTAATTATAATGTGTACTGAATTTTATATGAATTATTTCAAAAGGTTTTTTTAACCCCTTATCTCCAACTAATCCTGTAAAACAAAATCAACTTTTCCTTGTTGGGAAGTCTTATTTGCTAATAATATTTTGCTAATGATGTGTTCAAGGCCCTTGGCAGACATTTTGTGTGCTCTTAATAGTTTAGTAGCCTTCTATTCTATAAAGCCATATAAAATATAGTATTGGAGGCAGGTGTTAATCAACTGGGGCTTTTTTCCTCTGGAGCTTTTGTCAATTATTGAATCAGTCTGGCAGAGCTGACTGATCTCTGAGATTCCTGCTGTTTGATTAAACTATCTTCGGAGATGTGTTTGTCAAAGGAATATGAGATGACTTAAGAATAGGATAGAGCCATATGACAATGTTTATTTATCTTAATTCTGATTTTCAATTTCTTATTCCCTCCTATTCCAAAATCAAGATACCATTGACGGCAACTTATTCCACTAACTTATTTAAGATTTTTTTTATCTTAAATCAAATTTGATTTAAGGAAAATAAAGTGTTTTTATTTTTTAAAAAGCTGACATGATTTTCCAGATCCAATGCATCGGGATGTTAAATCTTACTTCAACATATTTAATGAACGTCTGTAATTTGTCTTCATTTGTTAAAAACTGCTTGTTCTCCCTCTTAGCAATTTTCAGCCCCCAGCAACAGGTGGCTTCCTTTAGTTTAAACAAAATTCTATTTTAAGGTCTTAAGCTACATTTTTGGGTGATTCCTACCATAGAATAGTGTCACTAATTTGCAGCAATATTGATCAGGAGTTTGAACACTAGATGCTTTCCTCTGAGCTCTGGTTGTTCACCCTGTGTTATACTTCTGTTTACAAGTCAGTAAAACACATCTTTTTTTAAAAAAAAAATTAAACTTTATAAGAAAATAGAAGAGTTGATGATCTCAAAAAAGGAGGGATGGAATTTGTACCGCATCCCACAGTCATGAGTAGAAGGAAGAGGGGCAATTGAATTTGTCCCCACTGTTGCTTCTGCTGTTCCTCTTAGCATTGTTTGCTGTTATTCCTGCTACATTTCTCCACTTCTTTTTACTTCTGGTGGCCCCATTTTCAGGCCCTCCGCCTTGGTAGGTATGCTAAAAGTCCTTTTCAGGACTTTCCTTCATGTAAAAAAAAAAAAAAGAACTGAACTAGTTGTTTTTTTTTTCAGATAACAATACAGTATTCACTTTTTTACCAGATACTTGTTTTTTCTCTCAACTGAGTGACTTGGCTAAGATGTAATGAAGAAAAAAAAACCAAGTTGCCTACTATGCAGTTTTTTCATATGTAGCACCATTATTCTGGATGCTGGTTATATGAAAGTTGTGTATTTTTGTAAAATTTTGCAATTCTGATATGTATATTTTTACAGTTCATTTTTCTGCTTTTATTTAATCTCCTTCTCAGGGAACCCTTAGAAGCCTATATCTATTTTGGCCCTGTATATTATCAGAAACTGAAGCACATGGTGCTGGATAAGATGCATGCAAGAGCTAGAGGACCCAGAGCAGTTCTTACCAGGTATGAAGGAAACAAGGACACAAATGTACAAAATGAATCATATTTAATGAGGTAAAAAAAACCACTGAATTGAGATGGCTACTATTTTTCAGCTGTTAATACCAGTCCACATTTTTCGCATATATTCCGAACTGTTTTCAATGGTATTTTACATTGGCGGTGGTTACTATTATTTGTTAGATTCATATCTTCCACTTCCACTTAAGCTTAATTCCAGTTTTTCCCAGAGAAAACCTTTGTGAAAAAAGAAGGTCTCAGAGTGAGTATAATTGACCAAGTGCCATACAGAGAGCTTCAGACTGAGGTTGGACTTGAAGTTGGTTCTCCCCACTCTTAAAAAACTAAACATTACACTAGTTCCCTTTAAATAATATATATGCTGAATGAATATTTGCAATAAATAATGCAGAAGAAAGTATTCTGTTTTGCATTATATAGAGGAGATCAGGTGCTTCTTCTATTTCTACTGCTGGATCCTTAGCTAATTGAAGGAAAGACACAATTTATACAGGTAGTCCTCAACCTATGACCACAATTGAGCCCAAAATTTCTCTGGCTAAGTGAGGTTTGTCCCATTTTACAATCTTTTTGCCGTTTTTCTTAAGCAAATCACTGCAGTTGTTAAATGAATAATGTGGTCATTAACCAAATCTGGCTTCCCCTATTGATTTTGCTTGTCAGAAGCCAGCTGAGATAGATAGATAGATAGATAGATAGATAGATAGATAGATAGATAGATAGATAGATAGATAGATAGATAGATAGATAGACAGACAGACAGACAGACAGACAGACAGACAGACAGACAGACAGACAGACAACCAAACTTTATTGTCATTTTTTACTGTGAGCACAATGACACACATTAAAAATGAAATTTAGTTGTTTGTTCAAAGTGTACACATACCTAACACACATTTAAAACATACTATATACAACATATGTATAGACCTACACCCTTACATATAATATTAATTACTGTCCATCTTGAATGCATAATGGAAGGAGGAAGCTTTAGAGTTCACAGAGTTAATACTGTATGGAACAAAATTGTGACTGAATGTGGATGTTCTGCTTCGGATACCACGAAGCAATGAGAGATTGAAAATATCTGCGAGAAACAAGCCAGCTCATCTGTGCATTCCCTAAGAACATGTCCAGGAATATTATCTGGGCCTGCTGCTTTCTGAATGTTAACTTTCTGCAGTGTTTTCCGGACAGAGGTGACATCAAAGCTAAGCACTTGCTCGTCAGGATGGGACACAGCTTTCCTAGCAGGAGTGCTATTTGATGCCTCAAATCTTCCAAAAATGTCCTTGCATTTTGATGGAGCCACCTTATAATCTATAATTGGAAGATTGCAAATTGTGAGCACATGAACCCAGGATAGTGCAATTGTCGTAACTGCATGCCAGTTGCCAAGCACCCAAATTCTGATCACATGGTCATGGGTCAAAAGTGTGAAAACCAGTCGTGACTTATTTCACTGCCGTTGTAACTTCAGTCACTAAAAAAATGGTCGTAAGTCAAGCATTACCTGTATACACTATTACTGAATCATAACTGCATATGCAAGTAGAAATAATAATTACAAACTTCTTGATTTAAAGGCAGCCTACTGAAGGCCGATCCCGTGATGGGGGACTGCGTCTGGGAGAAATGGAAAGAGACTGCTTGATAGGTTATGGAGCCAGCATGCTCTTATTGGAGAGGCTTATGATTTCAAGTGACGCATTTGAAGTAGATGTATGCGGTCAGTGTGGATTACTGGGCTACTCTGGCTGGTAAGTAGAAGTTAGTTTGACAGTGTATTTTCTTGTTCCTCATTCATAGCATTTGGGTGCATGTCTTTAGGATGCACATAACATCATAATAATTTGATATTTGGTGCAGGAAGTAGTTGGGAATTGGAGTTTCCCAAGGCAGGAATGCTGAAAATATAAACAACCGCTTACAATGGAAGTCCCAGAAGACCCTGCAGAAGCTGCTATCACAGCAGCAATGGTAGTCTGGCATCGAGCATTAGCCTTACTGCCTGAAAAATATGTGGACTGTTAAGCATATTTCTAACCTTCTTAGAGACTAAATAATTGTCCCATCACTGAGCCAGAGTGGATTTCTTTATAAGCTTTGTGGTTAGGGGATAAGCAAATGGATAGTTCTCTAACTGACCCAGGCTGATCCTTACTTGGATAACTGCTAAATTCATGGCTCATCAGAAAGTTAATTTGAAGGATGCTGTCTTCCAAGTGACACCTGTGAG